ACTCAACATAGGAGCGTTGACCTTCAAATAAGCCAGTAGACAACCTGGCAGAACAAGAACCCAGCCCTGAAACAACGGCTTCAGCCACGTTGCCAGCAGCAGCATCAGCATCATCTTCATCCTCATCACCGGCGGGCTCTTCAGCAGCCGCCTCTCTAGCTACGACAACAGCCACCTCGAGCCTAAAGGCCCGACCAAAACCCTGCAAGAGAAGAAGAAAGAAATCAAAAACAGAATACGAAGTGCAAGAACCCAAAAGAACTCAGAGGAGATTACCACTTACCTCAGGAGGAGGATGAGCAGCATTGTACTCTTCAACAAGAGCAGGCATCACAGAGACCCCACACAGAATACGCCCAGCGTTCAAGAATGACCTCCTCAGGCAACTCGACATCAGGAACAAGTCGGGAAGGATCTGAGGGCCTAGTATATTCAAAGCCGTAATGCACCCTCTGCATAAGAGGTTGCACCCGGCGACGCAAGAAACTGGCAACTATACAATTGCCAGTCAAGCTTGCCTGTTTAAGCACTGCAACTCGAGCAAGCACAGGCTTCAGAGCAGCACGCTCAGCAGAAGAGATTTTATCCTTCCAGATAGGGAGGGGAACGGGAAGAACAGAGCAGCTTCAGCCTCCGAAGTTGACGGCTTGGGGAGTTGCCTCTACATTTTCCGCATCGCAACAAATTCGATGTTCTCGATCACCTTGAGCGCCGCCTCCTCGTCGATAGACTTGCTCTTATTCTTGCTCTTGTTCTTCGCCACCATCTCAGAAAAGCAAAGACAAGATTTGGATGGAAATAGCAGGGGATCGAAGGCAAAATGGAGCTAGGGTTTCAGCTGAGATTGGGGAATTTTTTACCGCAAAGGCAAGTTAAGCCAACAGTAATAGAGCAGCTATCTTTATACAAGGTAAATACGCGGCCCAAAGTACGCTGTCGCCAAAGGAAGGCCCTTCGAAGTTACCGTTACAACAATAATTACAGTACGCACCAGAGAAGAGCAACGGTCTGTTCACACCACAACGGCTATCAATCCGTTCACAAGAAAGTTATTGAGAAAATAATATACTACAAGTCGGGTACGTTTACACAGAGGCAACCGAAACAAAAAGAGCTCGAACACATCTCCAAACAAGTCGGACAACAACTCAGACAATATAATCTTTTATTCCTCTGATCAAGAAGATACTGGGATTACAACAGAGTACAAGATCTGATAAAGCAAAGGAGATCATTCTAGAGTGGCAGCAAAGAACCCAGTGGAATTCGAGGTTGCAACCCTCTGCACCAAGATTCGATATAACTAGCAGAATAAACACAACCTAGATACATCACAGCTACAGAGGATGAAGCAAATCCTGGGTTATGGACAGGGAGACAGCCACGTTCTGGACAAGCACACTGATATAGTTACCTCCAACTCAGGGTTAGCCAGCAGGAGTTAGGTGTAAACATTGACCGCCAAATAAGTGGAGCGCACCACATCTCCCAACCCAAGACCAGCAACAGCGACAACCCAAAAATTGAAAGGCAGATAGAGCAAGCATGGAAGCCACATCACAAGAACTCTTCTAACTACCAACGCGAAAGTTATCAAGTATACAAAAGTCCGGGGGCTGCTCAACCTCACATACCAGCATATCTACGAATGAGGAAAGAATTGAAAAAAGAATTTTCTACTCAAAGCGGAGCCACAACCAACAAAGAAGGTATTTATAGCAAGCCGGAGACAAGCAAGGCTAAAAATCACAAGAAAGAAATAGGAAAAGAACAAAAAAGCAAAGCAACAAAGACGAATAGTGCTCAAAAGCAAGATTACAAAAAAGAGAGTAAAAGATGCTCAATAATGGGTATACAGAACCCATCCGTGACCAGCAAACGACAAAGACCAAAGGAGTACAAATCAAGAACCTTCTATCGGCTTCTTCTCAACTGAGAAGAACCCGGAGAAGGCTCGGGGGCTGCAAGTACCCACCACAGAAAAGTAAATTTTTAATTTTTTGACCCTCTAGCTTTTTGTACAAAAAACAAGAGGCTCGAGGGCTACACTCAATATGCAAAAATTGCACTCGCTGCACTCAAAGGAAAAGAACTCGGAGGACATCAAGACAGAAAGACCCTCTAGCTTTTTGTGCCAAACAGCTGAGGCTCGGGGGCTGCACTCACTGAGTGCACTTTTTTCAACAAAAAGTGCACATCAGTCAGAAGAAGAATCAAAGAAGACCATCTCAAGATTTCACTTCAAGAAGAACCCGGATCAAGTCTACAACAACTCGGCCCTTGAAGCTCAATCATGAAATACTCGGGGGCTTGTCGATGGGGAACCCTACGGGCCCCCCATAGACCGTACTATAGGGAAGTGGGCCTTGGTAACAAGGCCCACAGCCCAATCGCCAAGAAGAACACGGAGCAAAGCAACGTGCAAGACCAAAACTCCAATTCGGACTATACAAGGAAAGGCGTCCGAAGCATAGCTTAGGACTTTGACCTTGTATCCGAGTAGAACACAAACAACCCCTCTCAGCACGTGGACTATAAAGGGCTGGTGAGGATATCCCTTGAAAACGACTGACCATACCCAATACTCAAAGCAATACGACGCAAATAGGCTAACGCCGAACTGGACGTAAGGTTATTACTCGACCAAGTCGAGGGCCTGAACCAGTATAAATCGTGAGTCTCTTTGCGTAACCGCCGAGTTCCACTATTCGCCGAAGCCCGAACAACTGTCCCGGGTACCCCCATGGCAGGCTATCAGTGGTAAAACATCGACAGGGGTCTCCCCTGCTGTATATAAAGTCCAAAAAAAAGATAGAAGGCGGCTTTTGTGATACCACTAAATTGGCAAAACTATTGTAGGTCCTGCAAACATGTCACAACCAGCACATCATAATTCCCAGTTTAAATGAGATATCATTGTGCTGTGCTTAGTAGAAGCGGTCTAAACAGGGAACAGAAGGTAAAACTAAATTTGTCTAAACATATGGAGAACTTATTAGCATTTCAAAATTTGATACTAAGTAGGTACTAGTGGGGCACTTGTTCGAGCAGGCAGCAAAGCAGTAACATGAGTCTTGGACAAAGCACCATTTTACGATACAAAGGAGAGGACTATCGACAGTAGGTGTATTTGTGTAGAACAAAGTAATATGGTGAGAATTAAGCTTAACTTTCCAGAAAAACTTTAGTATCAAACTAATCCAATTTCACTTGAAATGCATGTACAAGACAAAATTGAGATGCGCAGATCACAGTTCCATTGTATCATGAAACAATGGTTTAGTGGTAAAGTACTGCGGTTCAATGACAGTAAGTGAGACTTCAATTTAGTCATGAAGCAATAAGACATGTGAGTAGGCATTAATTTCTGAGGAACTGATGAAGTGGATGTACTATTATTTTCAGAAATAGCAAAACTAAAATGCAAATGCTCAACTATTTTAGAGATATTAGTAGAAACCAGTCTTATGTTGCATAATTAAATAGTTAACAGATATAATGTGAACACACTTCCAGTTTTGCTGAAATGAATTTGAGAAAATGTATCTTTGTAGATGGGGCTGCAACAATGGTATTGCAACTACTGGTATTTCAGCATCATGGAATCACCATGCAGGTAAAGAATTTTTATTTTTTGTTACCCTTTTTCTTTTGCTTAATCAATGACTCCACGAAGATAGCCAGAGTATCAAGACACGCTAGCCTCTACCATGTGTATTTCAGTGTATTCAGGATAGATTTTGATGTTGTTGATCCACACGACATAGCATGTATATCTAGGGAGACATTATGTCAAACAGTTAGCATGTATGCTTCAAAAAAAAAAAGGTTAGCACGAATGACTGCATAATAGGAGCTCACATCACTACCGAGAGAGGTAAAAGAAAGAAAAATCAACTATGACTCACAAGGATCAAGGATGAGTGATAATGATTTGACAATGCCGATCATAAGTCATTAGCGAGGTGGAGATGAAGCTGCAGTGCAGAGCACGCAACTACCCTTTTTGGCCACCGCGGCCTTCAGGAACACCATCCTCCACGTCCGATTTTCCCGCTTGAGGTCACGACACCAGGATGGAACCCAGCAACACCGCCGCTGCCGCACGGGACAGCCACGCTCGGGACATGTGCTGGGGACGGAAGGACCGCCGCCGGCATGACGCCGCGGGAGAAGTCGGATAAGGCGGAGGCCCGGAATGCGGGAGATGCAGTCGCCCAAGCAGCAGCGAGGTCACGGGCGTAGGGAAGCCCTTGGTCCGGCGCCGAGCCGCATCACCGTTGGAGCGCCGCGCCGCCTTGCTCGGGTTTTTCCTGCTCTTCCATTCGAAGATTCTCGACAGCTTTCGGGTCAGCACCCGAACTGACCCGCAATCGGACAGACGACATCGTTTCCTCGCAAGATCCTACGGTTAACGGGTTAGAGGGTGACGTGGCCATATCCATTGCCCGAACCTTCAGCCTATTCGGTTGGCTGGTTCGTATCGTTGCTGGTTCGTGAAGAAGTACTGCTGGCTGGTTTGCGTGAGAGAAAAATACTATCCCAACTGAAAATTTACGATCGTTTACGACAAGCCACAGCCAAACGAACAGGCTGCTTGGCTCTGGTTTAGAAAGAAAGAGATAAGCTTTAAATACGAAATGCCATCCCAAATTAATATGGAAATGTTATACGGTTCTTGCATTTAGAGCATGTTCATCTAATATCAAAAGTGTGTTTGGTATGTGCCAAGGTGTGTCCAAGCCAAGCCAAAATTTGGCTGCTCTACAACACTGGGCATCATTTGATTTTCAAAATTTGGTTTGTTAGTTTTCTCTTTCGGCCAGTAACCATGGCAGCTGTAGCTTCAGCCTTCAGGGCCCAGGCCGGAGCCAGCAGCGGACAGAAAAACCCTAACGTTCCTAGCCCCAAACCCCCCTTTTCTCTTCTCGCTCATCCCCTTCCCCTCGTGCTGAAGCCGAACGATGCCGTAGAGCAGAGCTGAGCAGCGCAGCCCCGCCATGCCGCTAAGCCTACGCGCCGCGCTCCAGCTCCGCCGCTTCTTCTCCACTGACGCTGCCCTCGCACCCCCGAAGCTGCGGAACCTGCCCTACCGCCTCCGCCACGTTGCCGTCCCCGCCGCGCGCGCCGTCATCTCCGAGTACCTCCACTCGACGCGCTGCCTCGCGTCCTCCCACGCCGATTCCATCGCCGCGCACTCCCCGCGCTCCCTCCTCTCCTTCCTCGCCGCGCTCCCCACCGTGCCGCGCTCCCTCCCCACCTCGGAGCTTCCCGCCCACCTCCGCCGCCACCTCAACTTCCACCCGCTCAATGAGCTCCCCTTCTTCCTCGAATCAATCGGCGGGCCCACCGCGGCGGCCCCCTGCTTCAACTCCATGTTCCTCTCCGACCACCCCTCCCTGCTCGGCGCCGTCGCCGCGCTCGCGCACTTCGGATTCCCATGGTCACGCCTCGGACTCCTCTTCCCTAGCGTCCTCCTCGACGTGCCCCCGGACCTCATCTCCGCGCGCCTCTCCGCTCTCGAGGCCCGCCTCCACCGGCTCCCTCGCTCCGCCATCATCGCCGCCTGCCTTACCTTCCCATCGCTTCTCGAGGGGGATCTATCCGACTATGACATACTCATTAAGGATATTGCCACCACGTTCAAAGGATTGGGGCCGGATTTGAGTTCCAGCAATGACATTGACGCGTTCTCGGGGGTGTGCCGGAGGATGCGGATGTTTTATGATGCCGGGGCAGAGATTGGTAGCATTGGGGGACTTGTCGGAGGCAGCCAGTGGGTGTTTCTTGAGCTCGGGGAAAAGAGGATTGCTGAAAGGCTGTGGTTCTTCAAGGAGCTGGGGATGGAGGGGAAGGAGATGGGAAGGTTTTTGCTGAGCAATCCCAGGATTTTCGATCTTGATTTCTCTGATGTGATGATCTCAGTGCCAAGGTATCTGCGGAGGGTTGGATTGGCAGAGGATGAGATCGATGCTGCGGTGGAGAAGCACCCGTATGTTGTTGGGAAGAACCAACTGGAGAACCTTCCTAGGGTGCTGCGGGCAATGGAGCTGGAGCATCGGTTCCTGGAGAAGATATTGGCCGGTGGGGAGAGTTTGCGCTATTTATCACCAGAATTTGTTTTGGAGGATGATAGCTATGATGCCGAGGTCGAAAGAGCTTTCTTGGATGGGATGGCTAAGGTCATGGTCGAGAGGAAAGCACATTTTGTAGACAAGAAGCTGGAGTTCTTGAAAAGTGTTGGGTATGGTGAGAATGAGATAACCACCAAGGTAATTCCTGCCCTTAACAGCACCAAGGATTTGCTGTTGGAGCGGTTTGACTACCTCCTGGAAAGAGGAGTGGAGTATAAGATACTATGTCGGATCTTGCGCATTTTTCCAAAGGTGCTGAACCAGAGTAAGGATATGCTCAATGAGAAATTGAACTACCTCACAGAGGAGCTGGGCTACTCCTTGGAGTACCTGCATTGCTTCCCTGCATTTTTGTGCTTTGATTTGGAGAACAGGACCAAGCCTAGGTATACAATGCTTTGGTGGCTCCAAGAGCATGGCTTGCTTAGAAAAAAATTAGCCCCTGCAACAGTGCTTGCTAACTCAGAGAAGAGGTTCATTAGTACCCTTTACCTTGTGCATCCTGCAGTTCCAAAGTTGTGGCTTGAGTGTTTTTCTTCAAGAATACATATGGAGTATTATCTCAAGAACATCAATCATTATCCAGACAACATATAATTAGATGTCTGGAATTATATTGACATTGATTGTTAATGGTACAGAGTATTTGCCATGTGCATCCTTTTCTCTGTTGAGGTACTTGTTAGATGTAGCAGCTTTATATTTGGCAAAAAAAATTTGCTCCTGCATGCTTATCAGTAGGTCGCAGCATGTAGCATGAAAGGGATACACCAATTAGACAGCAAACCTTGTAACTTGATTGTGGTAAAGCTGTGCTGTACATTTGAACTCTGTTCAGTCCAATTTCCACGTTCCTCCTGTGGCTATGCACTTACTGGAACAGCATGGTGTATTCATCACATTCTTGACAACAGACCACAGCTCATCTGGTAGCACCAAACGGAGTCATTATTGTTATACATCATCATATTTCCTTGATCCCTATATTGAAAGCTATATATAGCGAAAATGTGAGAATATGTGTATTCCTTGGGTTGGCTGGTAGTAATGAAATGTGACCATGTCTTAACGCTCAGTCAAAAGAAAAGATTAAACAATACTTTTCCTTTTTCTTCCCAAGATAAGCAAAATAGATTGATTCTCTTGTAATAATTGATGATCCTTATGGAAGATGAAGAAAAATGGATTTACTACCCTGTCTTCTTTCCTATGGAGGGCCTGCCATTGTTCCATTTTTAGATGGTTTCGATGGATGCTTTCGTGGAGGCCATCAAGGATCCTAAATGAAGAAGAGTCAGTTCTCATCTCATGCCATAAGCAGGTAATCTTTCCTGGATATTCCAACTCAGAATGATCAGCATCAGCAGTCCTTGCATAAGCAGGTAAACTTTAGCTTTTATGGAGCTAAAGTGCTACGAATCTTTACTCATATTGTTTGTGTTTAGCTTGTAGACTATTCTTGGAAGAAAGGAAAATGTCTGTGGCAGTTTGTTGTTATACCCTTCCCTTTGGTTTCGCAAGTTTTCAGGTTTTGTCCTACACTGATAAGTTTGTATCAACGTCTAATATGTTTGACTTGTCTCTTAAACTGTTAGTATGTATTTGTTCCTCTAAAATGAGGCCTACTGTAATTTTAAGTTGCAGAGAGTCCTATATTTGATGCACTCTATTCTGCAAACGTTAAACTGTGGTAATGATTAGCAAATACGAAAATACTAAAAATAAGCACCAAATATCTATCCAATTGGCGTTCACCGAAATGCTACCATTACTGATGTGGATTTTTTTAAACAGGAATCGGCACAAATATCACAACAAAAGATCCAAATAATAATTACTTGGATTCTGCCTAAAGGAAGAAAGAAGGGATAATTTTTTTTTTTGAGGGGAATAAAGAAGGGATAATTAATGGGCTACAAGATGACCCCAGTCGCAAGAGCCCAATCGCTGAAAAGAAAAAAGATCCAGCCTCGTTTCATTCAGTCGACTTCGACTCGGACCTCACGGCAACTTCCAACTTCGGGTCGGACTCGAAAGCCACGGCAGCTGGCCCATCCAGCCATGCATCCATCCAACTTCGGGTCGGACTCGAAACCGCGTAGCTGGGCCAGATCTGGATCCAGTCCAGCTGCTTAAATCCAACGCCCTCCCCTTCCCTTCTCCTGGCGCGTAATTCCTCTGCTCCCTCGCCGTCGCCTTCCGCAATCCACCCAGCTCTTCTGCTCACCCGCCGTCGCCTTCCGCAATCTACCCAGCTTCTCTGCTTCTCGTCGATCTAATCGACCCACAGCCCTCCTCTTCCATGGTGATGTACCTTCCTCCGCGCTCCAATTCCGTCGGCATGCGGAGCATCCGCCGCGAGCTCCAGCGCAGGAGGTCCAAGCCCTTGGCGCCCACGAGGTCTGTCGCCAAGAAGCCGTCCGCGTCACCACTGCCGAGTCACAGCTCGAGCGACGCCGTCCGGGATCCATGCCCTCGTCCACCACGCCAGGAGGTACCATCGTCGACGATCTCCCATTCCCGAGGCTCCACCGTCACCGACGCGTCACCACAGCCCCGGCCTTCGTCGCGCTGCACCTCCGCCTCTCCGCCACCGCCGCTGCTTCGGTCCGACCCCTCCTCCACCGGGTCTGCGTTCCGAGCTGCTCCCGGTGTCCCCGCACAGCTGAAGCCTGGGACGGTGGTTCGTGTCCGCACGAGGACTGCGAAGCTGAAGACGGGGCAGGTTCTCGTGCTCTGCCTCAAAGCCACGATCGTGTCGTCGTCCACCGACGGAGGCTACGAGGTTGTCTACGACGCCAACTTTCCACGCGGCGATCCCAAGAGCACCGTCCACGTCGCGCCGCACCAGGTCAGGCTGATCAATCCATCTCCGTCGCCGACGACACCACCGCCGTCCCTGCCTCCGCCCACCGTCACTGTCTCCGTGACTACGAAGAAGGAGATGCCGAGGCCAACCACGGCAGGGAAGAGCCTGCGCCTCATCCGCAGCCTCTTTCCGGAGATGGAGCTTCCGGTCCGGGCTTGACCTGTCATGAATCGGATACTAGCTGCTAGCTGCTGCGTGATTCTGCGCTGGATTTGTAGTGAATTAGAGATGCAATGCTTGTTCGTTCATGAGTAGTCGCTGTTTTTGTTGGATTAGTTCATGAATCGTGCAAGTCCCATGTGGTGTTGTTGCCCAGACCAGCGTTCTGGTGATTTATATGTATGCTCGTATATGATTATATATTTGTATACAAGTACGTTCTTGAATCTTCATGACATCATTAACGCTTGATTTATTTGATTGCTTGTGTTTTGTTCTTCTTGCTTCCAGTTACATGTTTGAGATGGTTACTACTTGTGTGGTATTTTTGCAGTAATAAGCAGATGATGGTTACTGCTTTGTGCATAGATTAAGTTGCTAGTATCTCTGTTTTTCTTTCCTGATGCCTGCTTGTGTTCAATCAAGTCAGTTTTCACCAATATCAGCAAAACGTTCTCATCAAACTGAATGCATTTTTTTCCCTGCACAACTTGATTTGTGCCTTGACTATCTGTAAAGATATGTTGCTGCGAATAACGTATTCTGCAATATTTATAAAAGATTGTTCCAAGGTATAATTTTGTTCATATTTCACATTGGGATCTCTCAGGCTGTCTGTTCTTTAATGGAAGTTAATACCTGATGATATACTGTGTGCCAGCAGGCTGGGGCATTTACATTTTACTCATTTTTGGTCTGACCACTGTTTTCTCTGGGAGGGTTTTCTTGAACAGAATGAGGTTCAAGCAGACTGTTCCTATTCACATAGCGATTGGCATCATGTGCCTGAGCATCTCGTCACTGGAGATGTAAGCACTAGATCAGTGCATATTCCCCGTTCGCTTCGCTGAAAAAACAAGCCGAAACACTGTTCTGGCTGATTTGTTGTGAGAGAAAAACACTGTTCCGACTGAAAAAACAAGTTGAAAAGTACGGATTATAAGAGAAGCGAAAAGGGCCATGCGTTTGCTCTATTTTTACTTGTGATACTCGTTCTGCTGTGAGTTGACCTGTTTGAATAGATACCATGGTGAAAACTGAAAAGCAGTTCTTGAGGCAGATAATCAGAACTTTGTAGCATCATGACAAAAGTCAGCGATTTTGAGATACAGTGCATTTCATAGCGTATGCTGTCTTGAACACCTGATGAAAGAGAACCGGTAGTATAGTGGGTGTGTAAGTTGATAGTGTGTATGCAGGAGATCGGCAGTTAACAAAAGAGGAGGATTAACCGGTCGGATTGATAAATCGGTTGCATATGGGAGTTGCTGATTTTTCTTGTTGACTCAATCCTTATTTTACAGATGCATATCTATTTAGTGATTCGATGTTTTATAATTGGAGAAGTTTAGGTTCATTTTGTTAAGAACAACTTGGCTGAATAGAGTCAGATGCCTCGATGGATCCCCAAAGCGACCAAGCCCAACAGCCTGAAAGGCTGAAACTATCTGACGCTGACCCAATCTGCGAATTTGCTGCTAAAGTTACCTCGCGCGCAATTTCGCCTTCCAGTTCCGGCCGTCAGCGATGTGGGCGTCGACGGCGGACGGATCATGTGTAAGACACCATTAACAGCTAATCTGTCCAAGCCATTCCAATATTCTTCTCGCTTTTCACACATTTTGCGTCAGGTCATTTGTGGTGTACTGTTGACGAGAGATTCAATAAACTGACTGATATATTTGCTTTTTGCTGATGCTTTCTTGTGATCAATCAAATCGAATTGTGTTGTTGATGCGATCAGTAAATACTATCAACAATATTGCTGCATTTGTGGATTACAGTATTACTTTGCCGCAAATGGATTGATGCTTCTATTTTAGGTCTAATTTGTTGTAGCAAAATATTTCTGCAAAAATGATTTTAGTCTAATCTGTTTTAGCAAATGCTGAAATGCTAAAAATAAACACTGTCTAGGATTGGAATTTGGAATGGTTCGTAACAGACAATTAATGGGCCACTAGAAGAGTTGGCAGATGGTATCCCAACCGAGAAAGCCCAACGGCTGTAGAAAAAAAATCTGGCCTCGATTTCGACTTGTCCCTTACGACAACTGGCCCATCCATCCAACTTCGAGTCGGACTCGAAACCGCGTAGCTGGGCCAGATCAGGATCCAGTCCAGCTGCTTTAAATCCAACGCCCTTCCCTTCCCTTCTCGCGCGTAATCCCTCTGCTCCCTCGCCGTCGCCTTCCGCAATCCACCCAGCTCCTCTGCTCACCCCCCGTCGTCTTCCGCAATCCATCCAGCTTCTCTGCTTCTCGTCGATCCAATCGATCTGCAGCTCTCCTCCGCCATGGTAATGTACCTTCCTCCGCGCTCCTCTTCCGCCGGCATGCGGAGCATCCGCCGCGAGCTCCAGCGCAGGAGGTCCAAGCCCTTGGCGCCCACAAGGTCGGTCGCCAAGAAGCCGTCCGCGTCTCCGCCGCCGCGTCACGGCTCGAGCGACGCCGTCCGAAGTCTATGCCCTCGTCCACCGCGCCAGGAGGTACCATCGTCGACCATCTCCCATTCCCGAGGCTCCACCGTCACCGACGCGTCACCACAGCCCCGGCCTCGCTCTTCGTCGCGCTGCACCCACGCCTCTCCCCCGCCGCCGCCTCGGTCTGCCCATCTTCGGCAAGTTCCGAGCTCGGGGCTACTCCTGGAGTCCCCGCGCATCTGAAGCCTGGGACTGTGGTTCGTGTCCGCACGAGGACTGCGACGCTGAAGACGGGGCAGGTTCTCGTGCTCTGCCTCAAAGCCACGATCGTGTCGTCGTCCACCGACGGAGGCTACGAGGTTGTCTACGACGCCAACTTGCCACACAGGGATCCCAAGAGCACCGTCCACGTCGCACCGCACCAGGTCAGGGTGATCGATACGTCTCCGTCGCTGACAACTCCACCGCCGTCCCTGCCTCCGCCCACCGCCACTGTCGCCGCGACTACGAAGAAGGAGATGCTGAGGCCAACCACGGCAGGGAAGAGCCTGCGCCTCATCCGCAGCCTCTTTCCGGAGATGGAGCTTCCGGTCCGGGCTTGACCTGTCTTGAATCGGATACTAGCTCCTGCGTGATTCTGCGCTGGATTTGATAGTGAATTAGTGATGCATTGCTTGTTCGTTCATGAGTAGTCGCTGTTTTAATTTGTTGGATTAGTTCATGAATCGTGCAAGTTCCAGGTGATAGTGTGTTGTTGCCAAAACCAGCGTTCTGGTGGTTTATATGTATGTTCGTATAATGATTATATATTTGTAAAAGTACGTTCTTGAATCTTCATGACATCTTTAACGCTTGATTTATTTGATTGCTTGTGTTTTGTTCTTCCAGTTACATGTTTGAGAAAAAAAAATTCCAAATAATATTATTTTAATAAATAATTGTAAATCTGGGTGTTTATTTTACAAAATTGCAAAACTACATCCTATTGCTATCGGGTACCTGTGGCGGACAAAATACCTGTCGGCTATTGAGTTGCCTACAGCCTACGTGGCACATGAAAACCATAGTGCAGAGTCCTGCCGGCTTCACTGTAGCCGATTGGTCGATAGTCCTGCATAGCCGGATTGGATCCCACACATTGTTAGCGGTGCTGCAACAGTCAGCTGGCTAGCTGCGTTCACCCATTCACCTACAACATTTTGGTTTTTAGAATTTCTTTTTTATATTAAGCAAAAATATCTAAAGATCTAAAAAAATATGAATTTCTAAATAGATGCTAAGAAAAAAAATCAAACACAACCTATTTTTAGAATTCAATGGATACGTACGCAAACCCGGTCTCGAGATTTCAAAGTCATCACGGGCGCCCACTGCCGACGTGGGCGTCAGCACCACTAAAAGTGGTAGCACCGTTAAATTCTAGAATAAATCTAGAAAAATACGATCACGTATCAAGTCGAGGGGTTAAATCCGGTGAACAGGTTCCACTACGGAGAACCCAACCAACTGATCTATGATCAGTTCACAACCAACTCGATGGGCAGCCCTTGATCCCGCCAAGAGGACTCTGACACCACAGTTGTATAAATGGTTAGGTGTCCAGACTTTTAAAATCTAAAATCCAAATTTGTATAATATTGTGCGATGTAAGCAAGCGACAGCGGCCGAGGTGCTTAGTTCAACTCCACTTAATGTATCCTTTTGGAGGGCATTAGTGGGAAATAAATTATATGAATGGCACAGCTTAGTCGCGAGAATAGCACATATCAATCTAAATGAGAGTTTAGATTTGTTTGTGTGGAGTTTACATAAAAAGGGATCTTTCTCGGTTAAGTTTATGTATCGTCATCTTATCAATAAGGGCATAAAGGTTACACAAGAAATATGGCATATGAAAATTCCTCTCAAGATAAAAATCTTCATGTTGTATTTAAAAAGGGAAGTGATTAAATAATCTGGCCAGAGCCCAGAGGAACTGGAATGGTAGCAGAGTTTGCTGCTTTTGTCATGCCAAGCAGCCGTCGTCCTCACGCCACAGGCCGGTGCACGCTGCCGCCGGTTTAGGTACATGGCCTGGAGAGGCCCAACGACGAATACGTCGCGAATGTGCGGTGGGCGTCATATGCCGATTTGTGCGAGCGCCGACTGGGCCGTGTTTAGTACGAGATGACAATGTGGTATATGCCATCCGGCCATTGGTACGTGTCGGTTTTTAAAAAAAAAAATTGGTGCGTGTCTATCTAGATTAATTTCGATCCATTCATTTCAAGATTTTGGAGAAGGGGTGTGTGCTGCTGACGTGCTGAGCTCCCTGATGAAGCTGACGAGGCGCTTGAACTCCAACGACGATGCCCCGCCGTCGGCAACGTCACGCTTCACCTGCTCCGCAAGAGCATGAGCCGACCTCCTGATCTTGGCGGACTCCATGGCTTCCCTCACCGTCCTCTCCACCACGCCTCTGTCGCACACGTCCTTCATGTCCAGCCCGTTCCTCCACACGGCGGCCACGAAGCGGCTGTTGATCTGCTGGTCGGCGAAGAAGGGCCAGCACACCATGGGCACGCCCTCCACGATGCCCTCCAGCGTCGAGTTCCACCCGCTGTGCGTCAGGAAGCACCCCACGGCGCGGTGCCGCAGCACGTCTCGCTGCGGCACCCATGGCACGACGCACGCCCTGTCTCTCCCGACCGCGCCGATGGCTTCCTGGAGCGCGGCGTCCTGGCTGGCCCCGAGCATGTCCGGCCGGAGCACCCACAGGAACGGGTAGCCGGTGGCGACGAGCCCGTGCAGGAACTCGGTGAACTGCTCGTGGGAGATGACGGTGAGGCTGCCCAGGCTGATGTACACCACGGACCGCGCCGCCTCCGCCTGGCTGTCGAGCCACGCCATGCACCCGTCGTCGGGGCGCCACAGGCTCGTGGCCACCGCCGGCGCGGGGGACATGGCGTGCAGAGGCCCCACTGCGAACACGCCGCGCATCTCCTTGGCGAGGTGCGCGAGGGACGACCGCTCCAGGGACGTGGTCGTGTTGACCATGAGAGCTCTGGCCTTGCGGCTGTGCAGGGTGACCGCGACCACCCCCTTGATGAAGGGCTCCTCGTGCGTGCTGGTGAGTTGGCGGAACTGGATCGGGAGGTCTCGCCGTCGCAGGAAGTTCTCCATCCCCGGGACGCCGCGGATGGGCGCGTCGAGGTCGCCACCTTCGGGGAAGGGGAGCTCACCGAGGTCGAGAAGCCTGGGCACGGACAGGTACGCCAGCACGGCGCACGCGCTCACCGTGCGGTAGGAGATCGCCGGGACGCCGAGCTCCTCCGCGACGTCGACCACGAACGGCATTATACCGTCGCCGACGACGCACGTCACGGCCGGGAAGCCGTCGGCGGCTGCGCCTCCGCCTCCCGCGCGCAGCGAGGCGAGCAGGGCGCGGTACGCGGCGCTGGCCTTGGTGCGCAGGGCCTCCAAGAGTTCCGGGAGGCCGTCGACGGCGCGCGGGTCGTCGTCGGGGAGGCCGTCGGGCACGGACAGGAAGCGGAGGCGCGGCGAGGCGGCCGTGGCCTCGTCGGCAGCGGCGCCGAGGCGGCGGAGGTTGTGGTCGGTGTGGAGGAAGGTGACGTGGAGGCCCGCGCGGAGGAGCCCCGTGGAGAAGTGGAGGAAGCTGTTGAGGTGGCCCTGCGCCGGGGCCGGGAACACCAGCACGTGCGCCGCCGCCGCCGCTTCCGCCTTCGCCATTGCCGCGCGATCCCACTGCACTGCTCTACTCTAGTACTAGATCGCCCGGCCGATGACTAGATCGGCGCGGCCGATGGCGTCTATTTAAAATCGAAATTTAAGGGAAACGAATATGCGGGCGTGGGAAGAGGCCAAGAGGTTGGTGACGCGGACGGCCAGCCCGTTGCTGCCGGCGGGCACGGTTGTCGGTCTAGTATCGGAAGCGAATCCGGGATGCCTCGGCTGCTCTGCTGTCTGCTCCAGGTAAACGCTGATCAGAAATGGTTGGTGGAGGCGGCGTCGAGTGCAGGACAAACTTGGATACATAGGGAGTATGCTATACCGAGCGTTAAATATTTAAAGGACTTGTTGATGAAGTAATTATGAAGCGGTTTCAAGCCATCAAAAGATGAAGAATGAATTTGCCATGTCCTCCACGACATAGTTAATTGGTATGTTCATTCACCATCACTAGAATATGCGATGTTTGATTTTTTTTTTAGAATTTTAGAAGTTTATGGTCAATTATTAACGAAATTCCATCTTTAATATAATTAGGACATCATTTATGAGATTCTGACATGATTTATGGATATGTATATTGTTATTTTGCCACGTTATTATCTCTTATCTTGTATACAATCACTTCATTGTACATATTCTTAGTACAAAAGTTCGCCATTGGTGAATTTTTGTGCTGGATCCGCCACTGGGAGTATGTCGTCACGGCTGACTGCTGAGTGCAACAATGCAAGTGAAAGCGACCGGGATGTTGGCTCACAATTCTCGGTCCATGTGTCTCCGGCGGCTCTTCCGCCGGCAGAGATGCGGCCGCCACCCTCCGGCAGAGATGCGGCCGGCACCCGGCACTGCGGCACCCGCCGCCGGTTGCATTTTTGTGCTCCCCCGCTCTTTTCTCACCTATCGGCTGTCGACTCAATATTGACAAGGCATTCAGAAAATCAAGCAGGTTTTTATGGCATGTTTGGATTGGGCCTTCCAGGGAGCTTCTCATTCAGGCAATTACTTAGCAGATTCCCAAGACGGCAAACAAACACGTTCGAGATAAGGGGCCACATTTAAAGTTAAAGGGTGATGTTTTGGGAGGATGTTTGGATACAAGAAATCCCACTTAAGCTTATATTTCCATAGGTGAAAAGTCTATAAATGTTGTGGAGTCGTCTACTAGTAGAGGACAGGGCCTTTATCAGAAGCGGAGGAACAGGAATCACATCTGAGGTCGTGATGTATAGTTAAATAACAACAAAGATTCCTATTAGCCTTCTTTTAGATGGATTAAGGTTAAAAATTAGTTGGTTAACAAAGCTCTATGCATCCAACCAGACCCTTAGTTGGATCCCTGACATGATAATCCCATGCCAATCAAAGTACACAATTCTTCGCATATTAAATTTATTCAATAAAATACTCTAGCAATGAATAGAATCGTCATATATAAATGAGGCCATATAGATAAATAAGCAAATCTAGGTTTACTAACCAAATCACACATTAATATCTCCAAGTTACCTATTAATGAAATTTACAAATATGTCAACATGATAACAATGTACTGCATCCGTCTCAAACTCTCAATACATCTATATAAAGAAGAACGCAAACCTAGGTGTTTTTTTAAAGTATTAAAGTTTGACCAACTATATAGATAAAAAATAGTAAGTTTACAACATCAAATGGATATACTATGAAAATATATCTCATGACAAATCAATTAATATTTATTTGATACCATAAATATTAATTTTTTTATAATTAGTCAAACTTAAGATACTTTAATTTAGTATTGTGTTAGAATTAACTTCTTTTCTGGGTAGAGGGAGTTGTATATTGATTTGTTACTAGACGAAGTACTAATCATGCAGAATTTTAAGATTCGACTCGTTGGTCGTAGAGATACTATTGCCATCTGTTTTTTTTAAACACTATTTGCCATCTGCTACAGTTCTACTGTGGCCCATGTTGCCGTTGGCCAAGGACGGAGCCCAGTGGAGGCGAAACTGGGCTCCGGCCCCTGCTTGGCCACTGACACATTCTGAAACACTAGTATATTGACGAAGCAAGAACCTCTGCAAGCTTACAAGTTACGTGAAGCAAGCTTAAATGCAGCAGCAGTAATACATGTACAAGCTTACATGCAACAGCAGTATTACGTGTACTCCTACTCGCTAAGCAGCCGCAACCGATGGGACGAGTTTGTGTCGTCACTCGTCAGGCCTCTGCAGCTCTGCTTTACATGCAGCAATCAAGTTACTGTAGCACAACCGAATAATGGTCCCCCTTCATTTTATACCACGCTCCGCCACTGCCGTTGGCCATTCCATTTTGGGCTTGCGCTCTCACGCTTTGCCTTCCGGCCCATCGCCTGTTCGCCCACGCCTGCACTGGTTCAGTGAGTGGCTCGAGCCTTCGAGGATTAGTTTTTTTTTTGGGTGGGATAAGGGAGCCTTCGAGGATTGGAGTTTGGGATGGAGAGCCGAGAGACAGCCTGTGATGGCCTATTATGGTCTATGGATCGCTAGATATATATTTTTATTAATTAATATTTATATTACTGTATATTACGATAAATGATAAAAAAAACTATGTATTTCATATAGAACGGTAAAAAGTACTTTTCCCCACCCTCAAAATTGTTTGGTACCCTGGTGTCCTGATTCCCATCATATTGGCCCATGACCCTCATTGTCCACATACTCCATCCATTCTAAATTATGTCACTTTGACTTTTCTAATACATCAAATTTACTATATATCTAGACATAATGTATGTCTAGATAGCTAACAAATTTAATATATTAAAAATGTCAAAGCGATCACTAAAGACAAATGCGTGTAAAAGGACTTAGACATAATCTATACAATGTTTTTTTGGGTGCCCGGCAATCTCAATATTGACTACAAACAGTTGACTGTGAAACATAGTGTGGATATGGATGTACTATAAAAGAGAGAATATAAACGATGTATGTGCTCCTTGCTTCATTTTGTAATTAGATGCTATCACTAGTGTGACTAATGAAGATTGGTTGGTAAATGACAAGTACAAATGTAATACATCCAAATTTGTGTGACCATTTAATGCAAAACAACTCTTAGCCCCTATAATCCCTTATGGCCCCGTTCGCTTCGCTGAAAAAACTAAGCCGAAACACTGTTCCGGCTGATTTGTTGAGAGAAAAACACTATTCCGGCTGAAAAAACAAGCTGAAAAGTACGGATTATAAGACAAGCGAACAGCGCCTATGAGTACAATTCTTGATTGCTAGAATACACTGTGTTTCAGGATGAAGAGAGTGTCGTCTATGTTTTTGCTGTAATTTAAAAATGAGCCATTAAAACAAGAAAAAGATGCCTATGGCCGTTAAATGAATTTTAAAAAGAAAACCACTTTTTCAATAACTTATGGTAGGTATTTTTTTCTTAAATGCATGTATTGATGTACTCTATTGCCTTTTATACATGAAACGAGTCCTGAACTTTGTAGAAAAAAGTACCGTGAGAGCAACTCCAACAGACTGGGTAAATGTATTCGTGAAGCCATTTATAGGTATTGTGCTAAAAAAAACATTTCAACATCTTATCTATATTGTTTTCCATTTTTTCCAGCTGGTCATCGCACTATTCTCGCTGGCCATATTTTCCCTAGCGAGTCCTGCTGTTCTAAAACTCTACATTTTAGATGGACTTTCTATTTTACGTAATGGCTAAATCTCACAATTTAGCATCTAATTTTACCAAGCCTTTTGAGTTGCTCTAAGGAAATATGATGTATCTAAACTATTTGATTAATATGCGCGCACGTGTGCATCCTGTATAAATTGTTTCCTGGAAAAGGAAAAACAAATATAGTTGAAACGTTTTATAAATGGTTTCACTGCGAACAGAAAGTCGCCAGGCCCATGGACCAAAAAAAATATAGATCCAGTTCATCCACTCCATACAAATATCACCAACCTATCTGGCAGAAAAAAGTGCAGCTGGCGACCTGGCTGCGTCTGCTCGAGCGGACAGCGGAGGCACCACTACCGCACTAGCACTCTAGCAGGTCCTCGCCGTCCACAAGCGCCAGTTCGTCTCCCGGATAAGACGACAATTCGAGCCGGAAAAGTATCATCGCACAGACCACCGCGCGCGCGTCGTCACTCGTTACACAGCCCAAGACCACCGCGCTTGCACTTGCATACCGCCAGGGAGGGGGATGGGAGCAACCATGCACCTCACCGGTGTCCTCGGCGTGTCGTCGCCGCCTCTCGCTCCGTCCCACTGCAGCTGCAGCGGCGCCAAGAAGCAGAGCTGCTCGCTGCGCCCGCCGCGGCAGCAGCAGAGGAGGCGCCTCCGCGTCGCCCGCGCCGTCGAGGTGGGCGCGCCTTCCGCCGGCGCGCCGGAGCCGGAGCAGGTGGAGGAGCCGTCCATCGACTTCGCGTTCGTCAGCGTGAGTTCCTCTCGCTCGCGCCCCCTTGTTTTTTTCTTCTTTTTGAAGCGCCGAGATAGCACAGGCAGTGCGCACGACGTACGGGCGTTCGTGATCGGTTGACTTTGACGCCGCCGCTTGAATTGTTGCGCGCGCTCGTGATGTTGCAGCCGCGGCTGCTGCCAGACGGGACGCCGGACGTGCACTATCGGACTGCGCGCGGCGGGCAGAAGCTCAGGGACATCATGCTCGACGGCTACATCGACCTCTACGGGCCATACGTGAGTCACTGCACGCGGCGCCGGCGATCTCGCTCTCGCTTTGCTCACCGTACCATCGCCACCTGTCTTTCTTGCATCAGCAATTGAATCGTTTTCACCGCTGCTCTCTGCTGCCGCAGGATAAGGTTCTTCTCAACTGCGCAGGGGGCGGCGTGTGCGGGACCTGCCTCGTCGAGGTAAATCCAATGCAACCAGTCACAGTGCCATTTCAGAAACCTGATGCAATGATATTTCTTGTCGAAAATAGGGCAGAAACAAGGAACTCTGCCTGTTGCGATTGCAACCAATTAATCCAACGACAGCCACGCCGCTTGACACTTTGCCGCTTCGCTAATTTTGCAGGTGGTTGAAGGCAAGGAAATGCTATCCCCAAAAACTGAAGTGGAGAAGGAGTTGCTCAAAAGGGTTTGTAGCTTGTACACACGACTCCCTCTGTTCATCAGAAGCTGCCATTTTTTCGTCAAAAGAATAAACTTGCAAAATTCCTAGTATCTTTTTTTTAAGTAAAAGATGTTTCACCGGAGCATGCCCTGGATTGAACTTGTATTCTTTGTGCTAACCTTTACGCGCCAATTTTCAGAAACCCAAGACGTGGAGATTGGCGTGCCAGGCAACGGTGGGCAATGCAGATTCAACTGGACAGGTAAACGCTTTTCAGTGTTTGCTTACGAAAATTAAACTGTCCGTTCTGAATTTTCTGTCAAAAGTTGCTCTGAAATATTTGTGCACAATTATTCTTGAATATATATACTGCCACTGGATAACGTTTTAGCCAGTGCCCAGTGCTGCTTCATGTTTTTTTTTTCACAAGGCATAACATTGATAGCGTTCCTCTGAGATTTGTTATTTGCGCAGATGATCATTCAACAATTGCCAGAGTGGAAGGTACATGAGTGGGACAAGTAGGAGTTACAGCTTACTGATCTTAAAGAGTACTCTCGTGGCCATATTATAGATTACATGCAATGGAAGTGGGGAAAAATAAGAAGCAGTTGATCAGTAGAAGAGCTGGTGCAGATTGATGAAGCCTTTTCATACTCCATAAGTCCAAACAAAATCCTGGGCATGTTTTTTCACCATTTGTAGCAACCGAATGGAGCATGGATCAATTAGCCCCGTTCTGTAAACTGTTCCCTTTATACAAAACAAACAAAGGGATCCTCGAAAAACCTGATTTTTTTTCCCGAAAAAACTGTTAGCGCTGCTACGGCCTATGTATGGCTACTGAAGTCTCTAATGATCCTGCTGGACCGTTGGCGCGGGAAGATGATGTTGCGGCTGCCGATGGGCCTCTCTGGACTGCTAGATGGGCTCAGAACAACAGGTACTACTAAGGCCCAGAATGGGCGTAGTTGGTTGTGTGCGCGCATCTTGGGCTCTTGGCAGCTGTAATATAAGCAGAAACAGAACACATCATAAATCTGTTCTGCTTTGTCGTTGCCAAACAACTATTAGCTCCACCTTATCGTAAGGGCAATAATAGTGAAGCGTGTCTTTACCAGAACAGATATCATTGCCATGGAGAGAACAACTGATCAACCAGCAGTAAAAGAAATAGAAGAAAAATGGCCTGGCTGCTATTGTGACGCCGTCTCTTCTCTTGAACAACTACGCTGGTGCTGTGGTTGACGCCGTACCCGTTGCGAGCTCCCTCATGAGCCCAACGAGCCGCTCGAAATCCGTTGCCGACGCCAGAGCCCGCGCCCAGCCCGACCGCCTGGTCTCAGCAGACTCCATCACCTCCCTCAACGTCCTCTCTCCTCTGAACCACGGCTCTGTCGCACACGTCCTTCATGTCCAGCCCCGTGCCCCACACGGCGCCCACGAACCGGCTGTTCATCTGATGGTCCCCGAAGGACGGCCAGCACACCGTCGGCACGTCCTCGACGGCGGCCTCTAGCGCAAAGGCTAAATTCATTCTTAAACAAATTACAACTGACACAAGAATGCAAACTACTCCCTCGGTTCAAAAAAAAAGTACCATTCTCACTTATCAACAAGTCAAATATTGAATATATAAAAAAATTATTAATATTTATGGTACATGACTAGTATCATTCGATAGATTATTGAATATATTTTCAAAATAAACTTATTTAGAAATGTAAATGTTGCTAATATTTTCTACAAACTTAGTTAAACTTAAAAAAATTACAAACCTAGTTAAATTTAAAAAAATTTGACCAACACAAATCATATAGCGATATTTTATGGGATGGAGGGGTAGTATATATGCAGTTCACTGTGGCACTACATGTTATCTGATGATTATAAGGCTGCAAGATGAGCTCATATCAATTGTACTATCGTGAGTGGAGGTACGTACATAGGCATGCATGATGCACCTACGCAAAAGCAAGCTACCCAGCTAGGACAAACTAACACTGTGACATAGGGCTGCTCTTTGATGATTCATCCAAGGGGGCCAATGCCCCTACCCCATATGTATATCATTCATCTCTGTCAAATAATAAAAGTGCAAATCTTTTTCAACAACGAATAAGTGTGACGCTGCAAGATGAGCCCTTGATGAGGTTTTGGGAGGTCATGGATACAAAAAGTGAATTAGCGGCAGATATCCTCTATTGGCCTCAAGGTTCTCACCAGCCGCTGCCTTCGAGACTTCGCTTACGCACTCTGATGCTGCGGACGTCGTCGTTGCTGCGGGGTTCGCGGCGGCCGCAGAGACAGTGGCAGCGTTGGCAGCAAAGAAGGCATCTGCTTTTTCCGCATTTAGTGCCTTTCTTAAGTCACCTTCAGCAGCCGCTACCTCTACGTTGCCACTTTGGCTTCATCAGACACCGTTGTGGCAACCGCGGCCACCGCCTTAGCAGCAACACCGGCAGCCTCCGCGAAGGAGACAACCTTCTTCTTGGCCATTGGGCAGGCTAGATTGAGGCCCGGAGCCGAAACGGCTTCGTTTGCCTTCAATCACGCACACTTTGCCTTAGCCGCACAAGCTTCCACGGCCTTGGCATGGGTTGGGGGCGATGGAAACGAGCTCCGTGAGGTGAACAGCCGCGCCGGCATGGAGCAAGGAGGGTTGGGTGGAGGGAGGGCGCTCGGGTAGGACGAGGAGAGCAGGTACGGTGAGAGAGGGCAGCAGGGTCGTGCGCCTACCCCCCCCCAAGCACAGTGGATTTTTAAAATACCTATAATAAATTCAATTGCATAGTAAAAAAAGTTATTATTCCACTTTTTTTATGATAAATATTGTGTTTTTCGTTATGAGTACTAAATATATATGTAAAAAAGATGAAGCAGGGGTCGTGATCACGTGCTTCATCATGATTACGCGTCATGATTAAGCCACATAAAGTGTTTCACAACAATACACATTACTCAATATTATTTTTTGTAATGAATACTTTAAATTTGGTAGTTTGCTACTATCTCTGTCCCTAAATAAATCAACTTTCAAAGTTATCATAAGTCAATTTTTTGTAAGTTTGATACAATTTATATAGAAAAATGACTCAAAGTACTCTGCCATTCCCATCCCCTTCTTCATCTTGCACTAAAAGTTTTTGTGGCCTTCTTGTTGGCATGAGCATGCAGCAAGTCCCCGTTGCTCCCTATCCAAGTTGCTTCCTAACCTTGGGCCATTATCTTGTTGAGGTTGGATTTCTTGCCTTTTAATATGATCAAACCTTTGGTGAGGATTACTTCTTTCTTGAGGAGTTCATTCTCCATTGCAACATTGTTGATGCATTAATTTATATTTTATAATCACATTCTCAACAGAACACTTGTTGCAAGTGGGTGAGTATAAATCATTAAATCAATGCAAAACATAGAGCCATCCTTTTGGGTTCAGCATAGAATATTGAGACTTTAGGTGCCTTTTAGTGAGGTGCTTACACTAGCTTCTATCTTTTTTTATTTCACTAGCTAGTTCAATATGTTGTAATCTGCAAATGTGTTAAGTTTGCTTGCTAGTTCATCATAACTAGATAGTTGTTCTACTTTTTATCATCATGACATAGCGTTTGCTCAAAAGTGGTTAGAAAAACAAATTGAGCTATGCTCAACTGTTGAGCTTCGTTCCTTGTGAGAGGACATGTATACATGGAGACTTAGTATGGGCGCTCGCATATTTAATTAATTATTATTCATTCAATAGTAAGTGACATGCTCACTGAGAGTGATGCTTCTATTGTAATTTTGTCAATCTTAAGATGTCAAGTCTCTTATTCATAGGGTGTGCGTATGCATATATACCTTCATAGGCATAAGATGTGCTTGCACATATGTAAATCATTGTGTGCGCACTTAGGTGTTTGGTTCCTAATCATAACTCACGCTTACTATGGGATGTAGCTAGTGAAGTTTAACAAATTTTAGCAATAGTTTGGTTGTCACCGTAGTGTGGTAAGATTGTCTTTTAGGCCTTGTTTGATACCTTCGCATGTACCTTAATTCACGTGTGTTGAAATAGATTCAGGTGTAAATTAGTTTAAGCTCCACATCAATACACCTCAATACATGTGGATTGATATGAATATGAGAATATCCAAACAAGGGCTTCAAAAGTTAGATCACACGTGTCAATACTTTAAAAAAAGGTTTAACAAAATTTTCTTAGACTTACCAAAGGTATGGTAAAGATTGAGTATCAACTTTAGTCGATCACGGCGGGTTTTTACACATTCCCTACCTTACAGATGCCTGAAATCTCTCTAGGCTTCAGCCAATGCTCTCTCCCCCACGCGCCCCATGCCCTGCTCACATGCAGCTCCACCCCCACGCAGCTGCTCCCTCTCTCCCTTCTGGTGGCGGCAGCAGGTTCCAGCGGCAGCTCCTCCTCGACGCGCACGTGCTCCTCCCCACGCGGCTCCTCCCTCTATCCTCTTCGGCGACAGTAATGGGTTTCGACGGAGGCACCATTGACGAGGTAGGCGGTTCCTCCTCCTCCTTCTCCTCCTTGATGTAGAGGCCTGATCTTTCGATAGGTAAGATAGCGTTGATTGGTGGAGACTCGACGTTCACAATCTAGGCTTCAAACCATGACTGATTCGGTCCCCACAACCATTACACCACTGCTCCGTTGGTTATCAACCACGCGCAACGCTATTGACCTCGCCGAGAAGGCTTTCCTGCAAACGAATCGAGAACACAAGCAAGAACGGATAAACGCAATCTGAAATTGCAAATAAATATGAGGCTTATGAATATAAAGATGAGTTCTAGTCTTTATTAGAAAGGACTAATCGACACAGGTGAACAAGATTAGGAACACGGGCCCTGGTTCACAGCAAGCGACCTTGGTGGTATAGTTGCAGCAAACGATGTATGTTTCACGAGGAAAATAAGAACGCAACAAAACCCAAACCCTAACGAGAGTGATGGCGGCTAATTGTAGAGTCTTGGGCGTCACCCCCGGGCGCATCCTCTAATGGGCTCTAAGACGATACACGGTCCAATGGACCAAAAGACGGTGTCGTAGCACCCTGGTAGATTCTAGATGTTGGCTTATTTCGATGATTCTCGTTGATTCAGAACGAACTTTGATGTGATTCGAAAGCCAATGGTTAACTTATCAAATTATCTTTCCATTGATATCTGGATCGTCGAAAACTGAGTCTGTATGCGTCCTGAGCGTCGATTTTACCCGGGACTGCTCCTGGAATCCGAGATGGACTCCAACTTCAGTTAGACTGGGCCTCCACCATGAAGAAGATGAGTTGGACACCCACGCTGGTCCTCCTCCTCTCCTTGGCTTGTACGTGACGGAGTGATGTCCTTATCACTTCTCCTGGATCTACGAGTTAGGGTTCCAACGAGCTTCTCCTCTCTCTCTCCCAACTCCAGCGAGCTTCTCCTCTCTCTCTCCAACTCTAGCGGCCTTAGAAAAAGGAGAGGCCTCGGGAAGGTAGGCAGGCTAGGCGGTGGGGACGGCGGCCGAGTGGTTTTGGGTCCTGGTGGCGGTGGAGGCGGTCGGGCCAAGTCGGGCGAGGGAGTCGCGACCGTTCGCTGGAGTTGGAGAAGAAAGCGGCGCCAGGAGGGGAAGAGGGAGGTTGCCACGGGCGTGGTACGGTCTCGCCAGAGCTCTAACGAGACCTACTGCGCCGTGGCGGGGCGGTGGACGGCGACTAGGGCGAGGAGCAGGCTGGTGCAGACGCCATGGCGAGAGATGGAAGATGAACAATACGTCGTCCGAAAGAAATGAATTTATCATACGCCTGGAATATATAGCATCTCCTTTTTTTTCAAATGGTGTCAAATCCGTCCCCAAGCTTTTCGAGCTTCGCGACCTCCCCTTCCCAGCAGGCGGCGGGGACCTCGACGAGCCAGTGCGAGGCGTTCCAGGAATGGGGTGCTTCTTGCGGCGACGAGATCTGCCATGCTCTTGCCGCCTCCCCAATGGGACCGACGACGACGTCGACCCCGCGCTGCACGAGCTCACCAAGCTCTCGGCCCGCAGCAGCAAGGGACGGGCGCTCATACTCAACGCGGCCGTCTCCTTGGAGCAGACGACGCTCGCACACATCGCGCCGCATATGCGCCACTTATTCGCCATCGGCCCTCTGCACGCAATGGCGCCGGCGCCGGCGTCGTCGTCTTCCAGCTTGTGGCGCGAAGATGACGGCTGCTTGGCGTGGCTCGACAGCCAATCTGACCGGTCCGTCGTGTACGTGAGCTTCGGGAGCCTCACGGTCATGTCGCACGAGCAGTTCAGGGAACTCTTGGGCGGGCTTGTCGCCACCGGCTACCCCTTCCAAGAACAAGACGCCGGCGCCCTCCAAGAACAAGACGCAGTCATCATGGCGAAAGGAAACCACAGGGCGCGCATCGTGGCGTGGGCACCGCAGCGAGACGTGCTGCGGCACCGCGCGGTGGGGTGCTTCCTGACGCACGCAGGATGGAACTCGACGCTGGAGGGCGTCGTCGAGGGCGTGCCGATGGTGTGCTGGCCGTCCTTCTCGGACCAGCAGACCAACAGCCGGTTGGTGGGCGCCGTGTGGAGGAACGGGCTGGACATGAAGGACGTGTGCGACGGAGCTGTGGCGGAGAGGATGGTGAGGGAAGCTATGGAGTCCGCTGAGATCAGGCGGGCGGCGGAGGCTCTGGTGCAACAGGTCAAGCGGGACGTCGCGTACGGCGGCTCGTCGGAGAAGGAGTTTCAGCGGCTCGTCAGTTTAATCACGGTGCTCAGCACGCCGGGCGCGACGGAGTTGAAAGCGGCGTGCACCAGCGCGACGCCCGGTTTCAGCCAACAATAGCATCCGAGCTACTACTATCTTCAGTTTTTTGTTTTATGCTTGCTTTCCACTATGTTATGTCTTGACGAAAACTGAAATCTCAAGAGCATATTTTATTCACTGTGGACTAACTTTTTCTCTACATGTCAGAATAGTTTCTTTTTCTTTAAGAGAGTACTACTCCTACATTCTTTACAGCACGAGTACAGGGTGTGTGGACTGCGCAGCATGTGGTGTCCGATCTCTCTCTCTTTTGAAGTCATACTCCTATCATGGCTCCCTTCGTCCCCAAATAAAATATAACTATAAATTTATACAAGTCAAAATAGTTTAAATTTGTTCAATTTTATAGTAGATAATATCGATATATAATTAATTTAATTATACTTATTTTGTATCATAAACATTAATATTTTTATAAAGTTAGCTAAAATTTTAAATATTTCATTCTTTTAGAAAAGTAATAATTATACAAGCAATGATTTCGTCCCAACACTTTATGGATGTTATTTTGACCAACTGATAAGTAGGATATTCCTAATTACTCAACCCCATTGTTGCACTTGCACTTGGACTTTGCACAAGCTGTTTCTGCTGGGGATGGGGAGAAATCGAGCAGTGGGTGCATATCCCAAATCATAGAAGCGCACTTTTACTCGTATAGTATGCACGAATTTGAGCACATCTTCGCCACGCAAGGCACTCAGCGCCTGTTTGTTCGTGATCGTAACCCTGGCCCAGGCAACTTTTTTACTATATATTTGGCTAGCATCATCTATATCCACAGCCGGCCGTAACGTCCGCAACGGTGCTAGCTACATAGCTACCTTATATAGAGGTGAGAGATAAAAGTAAAAACTATTTTATATATTTTTATTTTTTAATGTATTATTGGACCCACATGTTTATCTCTTAAATTCTTGGACTACGTGAAATAGATTAGTTATTTATTCACCGCTAGTGACTATTCTCTCTCCTATTTTTTCTTTGTCCACGTCAGAATAGCTAACCAAATAACTAGCTATTGGGACACCCTTAGGGTAAGAAAATGTTGTGTGGACGAAACAGGTTTTTTCGGGAACAAGGCGAAAAGGCTCTCTCAATATTACTCCCTCTGTAAAAAAAAAGTCATTCTCTTTAAAAAAAACTTTTAAAAAAATCAACGACTTTTAACTTCGACCAAATATATTTAATAAAATATTAATATTTATGATACATAATTAGTACAATTAGATAGATAATTGAATATATTTTCATAATAAATTTATTTATAGATATAAATATTACACGTATTTCTATAAATTAGTTAAAGTCGAGAAAGTTTGATCAGCACGATTTTCATGACTCTTTTCTAGAGACGGAGGCAGAATTGGCCAATGCGATGGCTGCTCAAAAATGCGATGGCTGCTCAAAAAGACATAGAAGTACCTATGTCCCTTCCGCAAGGCAAAGAAACCTTAACTGTTGGATACAGTGCTTATTTTTTTTCTAGTTCTACTATTGATCATGTGATACTTTTCCTTCCGGGAAGGATGACTATATATTTGAAATAAATTTTCGATAATACTGAGGGTCAAGGCGTCCGATCCGTTGCACACCACCGTTGGTGGGCTACGCTGGCCGAACGGCCCAACAGGCTCGCACCGTGTTACTAAAAAAATACGGAATACTCACTTTCCCCTCCTTAGGCATCCCCGTAGCGCCTACAGCCATTCCGCCGTGCCCCTGCACCGCGACCGCACTGTCGCGGCATGCAGCTGCACAGTGGCCGCGCTGTCGCGAGCCCACGGCGCGCTCCACCACGCCCGGGCTGCCGTCATCCTTCATCTCCACCGTGTCCGAGCGTGGTCGCCCGCCTTCGTCGCTCTCCACCACGCCTTCGCCCCGTCGCGGCCTTCTACAGCACACTTGCCTCTGCAGGTGTTGCCGTCACGCGTGCCTAGCCGGTGCCGCTCGCTCCTCTCTCCTGCCATTTATTCCCGCGCCCACCTCTGCTAGTCTGGCCGCTCCCTCCCACGCGTGTCAGGCTAGTGGTGCACGTGCGCCGCTGCTCGCCGCCGGCTCCGACCCCGACGGTTGGAATCGACCGGCCCCGGCCTCCCCATGTTGCAGACACATGTTTCAAGTGTTTTAGATGTTTTATATGTATGTTGCAAGTGTTTCACACGGCTGTTGCAAAAAGTAGATCGGGATGTTGCAATGGTTGTACACGTATGTTGCAAGCTCCTATTCTCAATGTTTCATCTGTTTTTTTTCAACTATGTTGCAAGTGTGTTTATTTGGATGTTGCATACGTTTTCACACATATGATGCAAGCGTTTTATCTGGATGCTGTGTATGTTTACAATGGTTTCAAGTGTTTTTCATATGTTTTTGCAAGTGTTTACGTATGTTTCAAATGTTTCATTTGTTTTCAGACGTACGTTGTAATTGTTGCATCTGGATGTTTCAAAACTAGATCGGGTGCTACATCTCCCTCCTCATCTTTCTGTTGTCTCGCCTCGATGTCAGGCGTGGGAAGCTAGCACAGGCAGAGGCAGTCCCCACTGGTGCGGGTGGACCCCACATGCTTGCGGGCGGGCGCAACAGGCCATACGTGGGCGGGCAGGTGCGGGATGCGGGACCGAGGGGGGGGGCAAGCAGCGCGGGCGTCCGGACGAAGGGCTAGAGTCCGGACGTCCGAGCGCTAACCACGCCCTAATATTTTTTTGGTGAAGTTAATGTGAGCCTAAAGGAGCTAGCAGCCGCCTAAGCAACCAAATTAGTAAGCTAACTGCTCAAAACCCCAAATTGGTAAGCTAACTGCTCACAACCATTTCACTGAGTAGTTAACATGCATATAACAAAACAATCCTTTAGCATCAATACTTCACGACATGCATATAATAAAACAACCCTTGTGCACGGTTTATATTGGTCTTTTTGTATGATGAGATGCTTTTTTAGGAGTGCGTTGTCAACGGATCATCCGATTATTATTATTAATCAAGAACCTCAATAACCATATTTTTTTGACCGAATTAGTAGGGGAATCCCCTACCTATATTTTTTAATTTCCCATTAAATGAAAGAATAGTTATGTACAGAACATCACTAACCATATTGGCTCGAGCATATGGAACGGTTAATTTGACGATATACCGCCGCCCTCATACGCAAATGCGTTGTTAGTTAATAGTGAGGAATGGTATTGTCCCACCAAATGAATTGAACGGAATGGCTAATAATGGACAATTCCATTGTAGATGATCGAGTTGATTTCTTAAACCGAACACTATAAGTGGCAACGACGAGAAGAATGACCTGACTAACCGTTTGGCTTACCCAAAAGTCGGTTTATTTGGTTTCTTTTTTCAGCCGAACAGTGTTTTTCTCTCACAACAATTCAGCTAGAACAGTGTTTTTCAGCCAAAATTCAGCAAGCTGAACGGGGCCTTAATTGTTCGAGAAGAACAGATATCTAGGGCGACACAGTTCACAACAAATTCATGAGCTATTGTGAGCTTTTTTTTTTGCCAAACACCTATCACTACTGAAAACCCATCCTTTGTCGAGGGCTTATGAGTTTGCCGAGGGCTAGATCTCGGGACACTTGGCAAAGGCTTCATTTGCCGAGGGCCAGACCCAGGAGCCCTCGGCAAAGATAGGCCCTCGGCAAATTGGTCCTCATCAAATATGGCCGGATGGGTCACGGCGGCCACTGGCGTCAGTCTTTGCCGAGTGCCCGCCGTCAGGCACTCGGCAAAGATTTTTTTTTAAAAAAATTCTTTGCCGAGGGCCATTGGTCAAGCCCTCGGCAAAAATCCCCTTTGCCGAGGGCCAGGCTAGACCCTCAGCAAAGATTTTTTATTTTTTTTTAAATTTTCTTTGCCGAGGGCCATTGGCCAGGCCCTCGGCAAATATCCCCTTTGCCGAGGGCCAGTCTAGGCCCTCGGCAAATATTTTTTTTTGTTGTTTGAACCCAAATTTTTGTGTGCTATAATACATTATTTAAAACTCAATTTTAAAATTTGGACCAATTTTGACTTTTTTTATATATTTTCCTAATTTATTTTTTTTCGTTGATTTTTTTCGAATATTTCAAATTTGAACTGCAGTTGGATGGAACAATACAATTTAGTGATTCAAAAAATGTTATTCATGGTATTTGGTGTATGTTGAGTCCTTATCCACGAACTCGCATCAAATTTCGGGCATCTTCTTCACGTAACATGACGAGGAACTTGTCGGAAAAGTGTTTTTAAATTATATAAAATCCATACGAAGTCCCAAAATCACGAAACTTGTCGAGGTGTTATGTTATCGCATGTGTAGGCTGTGGTAAAAAATTGAGAAGGTTTCGAGCAAGTTGTGACGTCGAATGCATAAAACCCAGACATCGGGGAAATATATAAAAAAAGTCAAAATTGGCCCAAATTTTAAAATTGAGTTTTCAATAATATATTATAGCACCACAAAAAACTGGGTTCAAAAAACAAAAAAAAAATCTTTGCCGATGGCCTAGCCTGACCCTCGACAAAGGAAATCTTTACTGAGAGCCTGACCAATAACCCTCGGCAAAGAAAATTTAAAAAAAATAAAAAATCTTTGCCGAGGGCCTAATTTGGGCCCTCGGCAAAGGGCCCAACCCTAAATCGGCCAGCGGCCTGGCCCAAAATCCCCGCCCACATTTCATACGCCACTGCTCGCCCCGCCGCCGCCCCGCGCGCCCCACCACCGTGCCGCCCAAGCTCACGCGCCAGCGGAAGCTGCGCCACGTCAATGTTGGCAGCGTCGACGTCGAGCCCGGGGACCTCGGCATCGACGACGACGTCTCCGACAGGTCCTCCTCCTCCTCCCCGCCGCAGCAGAGGGGCCGCTCCTCCGCCTCCGAGGCCTTCGGGATCGCGGTCGGCACCCCCATCTCCAGGTCCGCCAGCTCCAGGGAGGGCGGCGCGCAGCCGCCCAGGTCCGCGTCCTCGCCCGTCCTGCACCCGCTGCCCTCGCCCAGGCTGCCGGACCTGCTCGGGATCGCCGATGGGTGGGGCGACCGGACGACGCTCGAGGCTAGGTGCGGTGTTTTCTGCTTCCAAAATAAATCGACCCTTTTTCTTCTTTCGCCCAATTTAATCGGAATTCAATTCGATCGCATGGATGACTGTATGTGTAGCATGGCTCGATTTGATTGCCTGTAGATTCTACTCACGTGTGTAGGGGAAGTGCTACATTTGCAGTCAATTTGCAATTGGCATTGTAGTATGATTCCGTAGTTCCAACAATCGGTTGAGATGTTACTTTCAGCTAGTAGTTGAAAGGCGTTTATGATTATTCGGGGATCCTTAGCATTTATTGAGATGTGGAAACGTAGGAACAAAGGGGATTGGGACTGTCTCTGTACTAGAATGTTTGTTTCAACTGAATTTTCGAGCAGTTGACAATTGCTCATAACAGACATCTACTACTATTGCCCTACAGTTCACCTGTTCTAGACAGAAGTCAACGAAAAAGGGGCTCTGCTTTTTAGTTCATCATGTAATCTTTGGGGAGTCTTGCAGATTGAAGATCGTTTTTACATTTACCTGGAATACGTTCACCCGGGTTCAATTAATAAGTATGTCAAACAACATTATGGAGCAATGACAGAATCAGTTATTCGCAATTTCACCCGCCATATTCTAAGGCGTCTAGCATTTTTGCATGGCCAAAAGATTATGCATAGGTATGCAAATCCCTGTCATTGTTCAAATGCATTTTTTTGTGCCAGGTCAACTGGTATGTTGACTTGTGGCTTGGTTCCTAGTTCTTCTGTCTTGCTTAGGAGCTTCTAGTAAACTTTCGCAATTTTAGATTTTCCCACACAAAACTTTTTAGGAGAAACTTTCCCACAAAATACTTATTTGTATAATTTTTCTCACATAGATCTCCATGCTATTTGCCTCTTTTAGTTCATGTCGCTATGTTCTTTCTTATGTTGGCTTACTAGACTTTGGTATGCAAATTGGTTATTGCATCCGAGATCCAAATGCATCACTGTTGGAGTGTTGGTTATATTGGTCATCCCTTATCATGATACCTTGTCGTTTCTGTGGTCATTTGAACATATATAGGATGGGAGATGAAGGAGCTATGGTCTCATTTTTTTTTTAAAATAAAGAGTACTCATGAAAGTACATAAAAATAGGAACTTTGTTGACAACCATGAGCAGAAATAAAACTCAAGCCATCTTATTCAATGCCTTAGATCACCTAGGCGAATATATGAAAAGGTGGAGGGCATAGCTTGTGTATCAAAGCTGAGCAACCTCAAACAAAAGTTTTCAAAAGAGTAACATGGAGTGCACCTCTCAGTATGGTTTTGATTGCTATATACTAATGCATCTGCTTTTGTTTGTCATTTATGTAAAAGGCAATGAAAATATACACTTGCAGGGATATCAAAGGAGCAAATCTGCTAGTTGATGTTCAGGGTGTAGTCAAATTGGCTGACTTTGGAATGGCCAAGCATGTGAGAATAGACTCATGAGTTCAGTAACATTTTTCATGTGGCACCATTGACACCATTTTCTCCTTTTACCAGTTAAGTACTGCAGCCCCTAATCTTTCACTGAAGGGAACACCATACTGGATGGCCCCAGAGGTATCTTAAGATATTCCTTGTATTACTACCAACTTTTCATGCAACTAAGTATCAATTTAATTTTCTATGTACAACATGTGACACCCCCACACACACACACACACACACTTTGGTCTGTATAAAATTGTAATGTTGCATAACACGAGAATACTATGATTTTTATCTAATCTTACAATGTTTTCAGCATGGGTTGTCAATTACAGTGTGAACTCGAGTAATATGCTCAGGCAAGATCGTGAAAAAAAAACATTGGGAGCTCAGAAGTTCTGTACTTACTGAAACTGCAAAGTACAGTGAGACTCCAGAGCCTGTTGCATGGGCTGCTTAAAGTCAGTGTGTGCAACAAAGGAATAAGAACATATATTATGTTGATGGGCTATGAAGTTCTCTTAACTTTGTACGAAATGCATTTGTAATCAAAATAAATATTATTTGATATATGAACTCACAAACGGGCAGTTAGTTAGGCAACCAATTGTGAGACATACAAAATAAAACAACAGTAGCTCATTTCTCTAGTTCACAGCTTGGGTGGCAGTTTTTTTTAATGAATTAGTTAGCCTTTAGTAGAAAGCCAATTTGGCTTGTCAAATGAGCCTATTACTGTATTTTGCTGCTTCATGTATTTATTTTTATATCAAAGTTAGTAACATGCTTGTGACTAGAAATTTATTTGTACTGTTATTGATAAAATTTTTCTTTCTTCAGATGGTTCAAGCTACACTAATGAAAGATGTAGGCTATGATCTCGCTGTTGATATATGGAGTCTCGGCTGCACCATCATAGAGATGTTGGATGGAAAGCCTCCTTGGAGTGATCTTGAAGGGGTAATAACTTGAAGTATGCTTATATTTTACAATAAATTCTAGCATGTATTTGCATGACTCAAATTTTCCTAGTGTGCTTAAGCTCACTTAAAATGAAGCACTTTCCCTGTGTCATCCTTCAGTTGTGCTATCTGTGCTCCCTTCGTTACAGGCTTACGATATTTGCCCCATAGTGATCTCAGGATCCTTGACCAACTCAAAATTATTGGTGCTTCTGGAAGCACCGAAGCAGTACTTTAGTCTTACATACATACCTGTTATGCTAATAGTCCTATATTTTTACATAATAGGTGAGGCCATCTGATTGCTCAAAGCCACAAGAATTGTGAAACTATCATGTCAATAACACCCACTGTTCTATACAAGAGAGGTCGAGTGTGATAAAGTTTTCATTCTCATACCTAAGGAAAACAACTGACCGCACAGGTGTTGGCCGTCTGTAGGCCCAGCAGGTAGCGTTCGGCGGAGAGGCAACATCTGACGACGGCGTCGCAGGCTGGGTTCACCGTCACCCATGGCTGGATGCCAGAACAAGATGGCGGAGATGGGATGGTGATCATGTAAAGTCATGGGCAAGCATCGGGTGTACGTGGTTCGTAGCCTTGATCCATGTGCAGTTTTAGCTCCCCACCTCCTACTCCTGCAGGTACACTTGTAAGTATGAAAGTTCACTTTTAAACTTGTGCTTTGCATGTATGTCGGCCTTCCTCTAATTTAGGAACTAACAATAGTAACAAATAATGGAAGGATGTCGGCGTTCATGTCCCGAGCCTGCTGCTCAAAGTTGTGGATGTCGGCGTTAGTGTATCAAAGCTGAGCAACCTCAAACAAAAGTTTGTTTCTTCTCAGTAGGTTTTGAAACCTCCCTTTCAGTTTGCATGTAAAAGGCAATGAAAATATACACTTGCAGGGATATCAAAGGAGCAAATCTGCTAGTTGATGTTCAGCTGAATTTTCAATTATTTGACACTGGAATGAAGCATGTGAGTATAGACTCATGAGTCTAATCTTTTGTATTCCTAGATTACTAGATGCAATCTCTAAGTTCCAAATGGCCCCACTTAAGATTTCCTTGTATTACTCACACATGCAATCTATCAATTTAATTTTTATGTACAGCCTCCGTCATCTGGTAATGTTCCAATCATCCTATGATTTTATCTAATCTTATACTGTTTTCAGCATGGGTTGTCAATTACAGTGTCAACTCGGGTGATCCCGCAAGATCGTTTCTTCTCAGACTGTACTTACTGAAACTCTCAGTGAGACTCAGAGCTACCTTGATGAGGACTAGTGCTGATGGATGTGGTTGGACTTTATTGCATAATATTTGTGGTTTATGGTTACGACTTGTGCTTGGATTTCATGAACTTGTCGTAATAAACATGTGAATGATGATGAACATGTGACTTGTCGTTTATTTGTAATATAAAATTTTGATTTGTGGTGTCTACAATTATGGTTCGTGCACCATATTGTTGAGAAAAAATGGGTGATTTAATGAAGTATGATATATATTCTAGCATGTATTTGCATGACTCAAATTTTCCTAGTGTGCTATACTTATGATATATATCTCAGGATCCTATATATATATATATATATATATATATATATATATATATATAGGTGAAATGCTTTGTCAAAGCCACGATGGAATGCAAAAATACAAAAAAGTGTGATAAAGTTTAAATTTCATACCTAAGCAACTGACCTTTTGCAGGCCCAGGCAATGACCAAGATGCCCTCGGCAAATGAAGGGTCCTTTTAGTTGCCCTCGGCAAAGATTCATTGGAAAAATTCGGCCGGAACATTTCTTTGCCGAGGGCCATGGTTAGAGGCCTCTCGGCAAAGACTTTTTTGTAAAAGAAAAGATGCAAAAGTTCCAAAACTCTTTGCTCGAGGGCTTTTGCGGGGCGCCCCAATCATCGGCAAAGATTTTTTCAAAAATGAGGAATAATTCTTTCTTATAATATTTGTGGTTTATGTTCTGACATTTGCCTTGTCGTAATAAACATGTGAATGATGATGAACATGTGACTTGTCGTTGTAAAATATTGTGATTTTGAAAAATATTATGCAATATTTCTTTGTCGAGGGCCATGGTTGGAGGCCATCGGCAAAGATTTTTCAAAAAAAAAATTCTGGAATAATTCTTTGCCGAGGGCCCGAGACAAGGCCCTCGGCAAAGGGTCCTGCCCTCGGCAAAGACTCCGTCCCCGAGATTTGCGAGGCCGTCCCATTACCCTTGGCAAAGATTTTTGAAAAAAAATTCTGCAATATTTCTTTGCCGAGGGCCATGGTTGGGCCATTTTTTTTCTTTGCCGAAAGAATAATTCTTTGCGGGGCCCCCCGAGGCGGCCCTCGGCTCCGCCCGGCAAAGGCTTTGCCGAGTGCCCGATAAAGGGTCCTCGGCAAAGACCCTCTTCGCCGACTCAAAATTCCCCCAGAGCTCTTTGCCGAGGGCCGCCCTCGGCAAAGCCTTTGCCGAGGGTTAATGGGCCAGACCCTCGGCAAAGAGGCCGTCTCCAGTAGTGTATTTCCAAAATAGCTTTATGGGTGAAGTTGTTTTTCTCTCTCTCTCACAAAGCCATGAGTTAATATGAAGCTAAAAAAAGTAACTTATCCCAGCTCTCTCCCTCATTTCTCTCTCATTTATGCATGAAGTTGGTGGTGAAACTGTTTTGACAAACAATTTTTCTAAAATAGCTCAACTTCATCTAAAAAGTTGCTTACGAAGCTGTTTAAAAAAAAAAACAGATTTACTATATGAAGCTACTGTGCCAAACGGGCCCCTAGTCTGTAGGTCAACGAACGGTGTCTTGCGCGCTAATGCCAACGTCCTCCTATTCCTCCAAGCCGTCCATAGTTTCATTTTCGTTGCACCGCACCTCCACAAGCAAACCATGCATGCATGCATCTAAAAATGGCGGGTGCATGCCGGCGCCCCATCTACGTATATACAGTATATTATTATCACGTAAGCTTGCTAGGTTTACACGCTGCTGACTACCAAGCAAATTAAACCATAACCAATCATGCCTGGTCGTCGTTCGTGGTCAATATGGGCGCCTCTCCTGGCGTCGCTGCTGCTCGTCGGGCCCGCGTCGTCGGCCGCGGGCGCCAAGGTGGTGGAGGAGGAGGACGAGGACGACGGCGGCGCCAGTAAGAAGAAGCCCCACGTTAACCACGGCAAGTTCAAGGCGGACCCGTGGACGGACGGGCACGCGACGTTCTACGGCGGGCGCGACGGGTCCGGCACCACGGACGGCGGCGCGTGCGGGTACAAGGGCGAGCAGGGAAAAGACTACGGCGCGCTGACGGCGGCCGTGGGCCCGTCGCTGTACAGCAACGGGGCCGGGTGCGGCGCGTGCTACGAGCTCAAGGGCACCAAGGGCACCGTGGTGGTGACGGCCACCAACCAGGCCCCGCCGCCGGTGAGCGGGCAGAAGGGCGAGCACTTCGACCTCACCATGCCGGCGTTCCTCAAGATCGCCGAGGAGAAGGCCGGCATCGTGCCCATCACCTACCGCAAGTACGTAGTAGTAGTGTAGCACTTCCACATGCATGCGCATCATTCATATATATATATATATATATATATATATATATATATATATATATATATATATATATATATATATATATATATATATATATATATATATATATATATATACTATGTTATAATCCGTACTTTTCAGCTTGTTTTTTCAATTGGAATAGTATTTTTCTCTCACAACAAATCAGCTGGAACAGTATTTCGGCTCGTTTTTTTTTATGAAGGTGGCATCCGTACAAACAACTGACACATGTACGTGCAGGGTGGCGTGCGTGAGGCAAGGCGGCATCCGGTACACGATCACAGGGAACCCGCACTACAACATGGTGATGGTGACCAACGTGGGCGGCGCCGGCGACGTGGTGGGGCTGTCGGTGAAGGGCAACAAGCGCGTCAAGTGGACGCCGATGAAGCGCAGCTGGGGCCAGCTCTGGACCACGGAGGTCGACATCACCGGCGAGTCGCTGACGTTCCGGGTCATGACCGGCGACCACCGCAAGGCCACCTCCTGGCACGTCGCGCCCCGCGACTGGAAGTTCGACAAAACGTACCAGGCCACCAAGAACTTCTAGGATCGGATCGTCGGTCGGGGAGCCCTTCCGGCCGGCCCCTTTATGCATGCATATTGTTTTGTATTTTTGTATACTACAGTACCTTGTTTCATTTCATGCTTAACATATTGACTGCATGGTTTGTAAAGAAAAACTGAACTGAACCTCCGTCGCTGGAGTCAATAAACTGTTGACATGTTCCAATTTCAACACCATTGGTTTGCGCCCAGCACAGAGCACAAAAATTCTGATGCATCAGTTTCTACGATCTGCAACACTAGCGGATGATGTGTATTTTGAATTCTTAATGCGTCAAATATGTTGTCAAAAAAATGCGTCAAACCAAATACTGAAAGGGGCCGTTTGGATCTATAGAATTTGATTGAATTCGAATCATGTTGTTTGCGTAGTCTATTTTGGTAGAAATGACAATTCCAATTAATTCCAGTGAAGCCCACAACACCTACGTACTAACATTCTTGACCTGGAAAACGGAAAGGCTAATTCCATTCTTTTACTACTATATTACTCGCTTTTGCTGCCCATCATGTACTCCAAAGCAGCCACCTGTTTGTAATCGAACGACCACGACACCATACACCAACGTGGAAGGAGCTGTCGAGTATGCACGCTCAAATATGCCAGAAAGGTATTCCAATTCAAGGGACCCAAACGGGCCGAAATTGATTTGTTACAGCAATCGTTTCGCCAGGAACAGGAAGGCGGGCTTATTGCAACTTTTTTGGGCTGGGCTGGAGAATAGGCAGGCCCAGCCAGGCGAAAAACTCTCCACTTTCTCGGATTTATCAAGATACAAAATCCCCCAACCAATTCAATCGGCGACGGCAGAGGCGCTGCAACGGCACAGCACCGCACGGCCTCCCTCCGCGATCGGCAATGGACGACAGCGACCTCGACTCCGCCGCCGCCAAGGCCACCTCCCGCGTCCGGTGCGCCGCCAGCGACGACGACCACCGCGGCGAGGTGCTGCAGCCGGCCCGCCCGTTCAAGTCCCCGCGGCTCGCCTCCGCCTCCGCCTCCCACTTCACGCCGCCGCCCCCCGCGCCGCTGCCGCTGCCCCTGCCCCCTCCCCCGCCCTCGTCCCGGCTTAATGCGTCTTCCTACGCCACGCCCGACGCAGCGGCGGCCAGGAACCGGCCCCCGGTCGTTGAGAGCCCCCCGCCCCCTGAGCTCTGGAGGCTTCCCATGGGGAGCCCCATCGCCGCCGCCTATGACGGGGGCTTGCTCCCCTCCCTCTCCGTGGCCAACTTCAGAAAGTACCAGGACGTAGCCCTCTCGGTGCGTCTCTCCCTCCCCCTCTCTCTCTTCCACCATTACATTGCCCCGTCAAATTGTACTTGTTCTATCTTCTATCGTCTCGTTACAGTTTGCAAGCCGATATCGATTGTAATTTACTGATTAAGTTGCCGATAAAGTTACTACTAGTAATTTGTAATTATCTAGATGGGAACCCTTAACTGTCATTGGAGAAACAACTACAGCCAAGCTCGAGCTGTTTCTGTTTTGGCTACTGAACTTAGAAAATGATAATCTGTAGAAAATCACACAACGAGGGTAGTTAAGCTTGAGCTATGTTTGTCTTGCCCTGCAAAAAATAGAAAATGATGCTCTGCAGCCTGTGGAACGAGATCCTCTGGGACCACGATCAAACAGAACTTAAGTCGACTCAGTTGCCTAACATGAGTCCATAACTAACAGTGGCCCTCCTGATAGTTTTGTTGTGCCTTGATTGATCACTCAAGGAAATGAATGAACTTCACTTATATTCGTTATGCTTGTGTGATGGGGGATCGGAGTTTATGCCTTGTGTATATCTGCTTCTTCTTAGGTCATGTATCGGTTGGTTGATGACATTAGGCACCATTAGTATCTGTCTGCTTGTGTATTTGGTTCTTTGATCACTTGTTAAAAGGAACATATTGTCAAACTTCTGTTCCGTGTGATAACTTCGTAAAATTCAGTAGTATTTAACTTTGATTTGCTTTGCTGCACTTTCTCAAACTAAACAAATGTGCGCAGTGTGTTCTCATTGTCTCATTATTTGTGTTCAGTATATAATCTTATGTAATCTCTATAGAAAATTGTCATGTTTGATGCCATGGTACACATGCTAGTTTGATGCAGAAAAATCAAAGCTGGATCTTCAGCTCTATTTTCCAACATTAGCTGCTTCACCTTCCCAAACTCTATTATGAGTTTTGACATACTTTCATGACTGGTTTCAGATTCTGGAGAAAAGTGACTACACCTCTATCAGTGGGAACCCATACATAAAGAAGTCAGGTGCTCACGTGACATAATGTCACTGTGAGTTGTTGATGGAATCTTCATGGTGCTCACTTCTATAATCCTTTTCAGGGTGGAGAAAAATATCTTGCTTCTTCAATATCTCGTTCGAAATCAAGGATCACTCCATTGAGTTTGATGAAAACCGTAATGTCAACCGTGCTGAATTTCTTGTTCGAGCATGAATGACGTATGCTGTTTTTTATGCAATTGTGCACGTGTTTAGTTCCCATCCAATTTCCCAAAAAAGTGCTACAGTATCCATCACATCGAATCTTGCGATACGTGCATGGAGCATTAAATGTAGACGAAAAAAAACTAATTACACAGTTTGGTTGAAAATTGCGAGGCGAACGTTTTGAGCCTAATTAGTCCATGATTGAACACTAATTGTTAAATAAAAACGAAAGTGCTACAGTAGCCCAAATTTCCAAATTCAGGGAACTAAACACGCGCTGCGAGTCATTTTTCTGTCACTTTCACCCGCCCTTTACTTCTATTCGTGTTTTTTTAACTTCTATTCGTGTGTTTTTTATCGGGCATTATTAACTCTTTTTCTTTTTTTTCGTGGATGATGTAGTGTTAGTTGATGAAAGCCGGACATGAGTGAATCAGAAACTGGAGTTATGGCGGGAGACTTTGGGGTCCAAATATTTTAGACTCAGTAGAACTAAAACTGAGTATATGAGATGTGACTTCGGCACTACTACTCGGGAGGAGGAATATATTAGTTTGAAAGGTTAAATAGTGTCTAGGAATGATACATTTCGATATTTATGATCAATGCTACAGAGAGACGGAGATATTGATGAAGATGTTAGCCATAGAATCAAAGCAAGGTGGATGAAGTGGCACTAAGCATTTAGTGTCCTATGTGACAAAAGGGTACCACAGAAGTTAAAAGGCAAGTTTTATAGGACGACGATTAGACTTGCTATGTTGTATGGTGCAGAATGTTGGCCTATGAAAAGACGATATGTTCAACAGATAAGTGTCACGGAAATACATATGTCGCGTTAGATTTGTGGTCATACAAGAAGGGATCGAGTTTAGAACGATGATATGCGTGATAGATTAGGGGAACACCAATTGAAGAAAAGGTTGTCCAACACCGGTTGAGATGGTTTGGACATGTCCAACAGAGACCTCCAGAGGCACCGGTGCGTAGTGGAATCCTAAGCTAGGATAGTAACGTAAAGAGAGACAAAGGAAGACCGAAGTTGACTTAGGTAGAAGCAATAAAAGGAGACTTGAAATGATGGAATATACTTAAAGACTTAGCCTTAGATAGGAGTGCTTGGAAAACAGTTGTTCATGTGCCTGAACCTTGATTGCTTCTGCTGGGTTTCAACTCTAGTCTATCTCAACTTGTTTGGGACTTAAAGGCTTTATTGTTGTTGTTGTTGTTGTTATTTAAAGAGGTGGCAGATTCTCAGATGGTTGGGGCTCCTGTGATCGACGAGAGAAAAAATTCAACAAACCTAACCATGACATTCCCAGCACAGCTGAAACCAGAGCTAAGAACAAGACTTGCCAGGTAAGGAAGAGTTCAACACTTATCCAAACCATTTATCTTGTTTACATGATGCACCTATAGTTTATGCTGTAATTTTAAAAGAAGAATACATTCTTGACATGTCCATCATTTCTTAATTGAAAAGTCAAATGCATAGTTCATGTTTTATTTCATGAACTCAAGTAATATGTGAAGGTTAAATCTTTCTTATTGTAAATATTTTAGGATCTTCTTGGAATTGGGCGTCCAGGATGAGAAGTGGAGATCGCTGGACCCCCGAAGTGGAGTCCACGAGGTGGTTTACCTTTAGATGGGCTGCTCATCGCCAGAGCCCAAAGTGGAGTCCACAAATTTCTAGTTTTTAGCTCGGTGAAAGAGTTTACTGGTACTGGAGGTTTCTTAAGATTTGAAGTAAATGAAAAGGGCGTGGTAATGTGTTCTGAGCTCTGAAGGTTTAGCATTTAGGGTATTTTAGCTTATGCTAATTCGGTGAAAGAGTGTAACATCCTTCTGTCAGATGTGAAGTTAATAGAAGGGCACAATGCTCTGCTCCTCTTTGTTAGTGAAGTATATCAGGTGTGTTTAGGATGTGGTTCATAGTACCAGATTTATGTGTTGAACTTGTGATTCTTTTTGTTTGTGTAACACTATCAGATCAGTAAGGGGGAAAAAGTGTTGCTCCGATCACCTGTCACTGGACTTTTTGTTGTGGTCATTGTCTGCCCCCATGAGCGCCCCCCCAATGATCCTCTTCTTCTCAGATAGAAACAGCAAACGGGAAACAGTGTAGGATAACAAGAACCAGAACAAACTCAAGAACTCTAGCAAATGTGCTGGAGTGAATATATCACAAAAGCAAGACGTCTGAAAATATATGTCCGGAGCAATACGCGAGACATCTATATCCCCAGGCAGAGATCTCAATTCAACCCCAGGCGTCCAAAATTAGACGCCTCGGGGAGCTTCCAGCGTCTAAGGCAAGGGTGTCGCCGATCAGCGATCAAACATCCCATGCATTTATCTGCTTCCCAATCCCAATCCATGTCATTTTAACCTTTGGATATACGCAACTCGTAGTAATGGTTGTACATAAACGGTGTAAGGAAAATCCATCAAATAAAGAAAACAAATGGCCAACATATTGCAAATGTTGCCTGCAATCCACCTGGACATATAGTCAGGTGGAGTTGATTATTAGCATTTACGACCTTATTTGTATTTGCGTCCACATAAACCAGACCTAATAAGCACAATGCCGTTTTGGCCCAACTAAAAACCAACCAAATACACACCATAGAAGAAGGCTAACGGCAGGTACATTTGGCAGACTGACCACGAGCGTCAGATGTTCCTAAAATGTACACCATCAGCAAACTACGCCTATTCCTTCAAATATACAAGAATTAGAAGAACTGGCCAACCCCTACAAGGTACAAGTCCCTTCAGATCCTGAACCTATGCCCGTCTTAACTACTTTGACTGAACTCCACCTGCAAAATACAATGACAAGCACAGATGTAAGAAGCGAATATGGTAGTGTCTACAAACTGAATCTAGTAGTGTTTATAACGATAATTGCATGTGCAAGTCCCTAGTTGAAATCCCATATCAAGGTTTGGGTTCTGCAAATCTGACTATTTCTGAAAACATACAGCAGATTCACTCCATTCAGAACATTGGACGAAAGCATAAGCTCAATTACAGTAGGCAAGTATTCTAATAACAGAATTACTGGCAATAGTCAAAGCAGTTTTTCCTGTGAACCTAAATTCTTTCTAGAGATTGTATTATCAGATGTCAGTCAGTATCAGCAAGGCACAAGGGTGAAATCGTTACCTTGGCCTCCTCATGAGCAACCTTCATCCTCCGGTACTCCTGCTGTGCCCGATGAGAACGGAACAAAGCTTGGACACGTACCACTGATCTATTAAACCTGTCCTCAGCTTGTTGCCGGCCGACCTGGTAGTAGTCCTCTTCTGCAGTGCTTGCTGCTTCTGCATCTGTGGCCATTTCTACTGGCATTCCAGTTGCAATACCGCGCAGGCCTTTTCTTTTCTTCCTCCATCGCAAGATAGCTTTCTCCATGATTCCAACAGACCATAATACCTTGCGGAACTGCCTTCTCACTTGGTGACCTCGGTATGCAGCCTGAGCAAGATGTTTGAATCATTAGACGACACGATAGATGAGAGACACACAGGATAACAAAAGATAAAATTTCAAATTTGTTAACCCAAAATGGGAAAAGGTGTCTGTCAGATGGATTCATTCAGTGTTTACCAACACAACACGACCAAAATGAATCCCTGGGAAAAAGGAAAATTAGCAAACCAAAACACACAATAGTAACAGAAGCTTTACTTGTATTTTGATAGCTTGTCTACGCATGTTCATGAAGTTCCTCCTAATCTGCCATGTTCGGAAATGACTCTGTATTCGTGCAGCAGCTCGCATCATTTTCTTTCTGTTGTAGTTTCGGAATGCGTGCTGAATCCTCATAGCAGCAACTATTGAAGCGGCTTCAGTCTCGGGATTGGCCAACTGAATTGCTTTTGTTTGAAGCTTAAGAGTTCGCTCCCTGAGCGCGGCTTGTATGTTGCTAGCAGCATCAGCAGCATTACGGTAGGCTGCTAAAGATTCTCGTAAGCACAGTTCTTGTTCACTAAGGTTTTCAAATTCCATGGTATTTTGTTTTAGTGATTGTGTCCTTGATGTTGATCGCTTATCCTTGGACAGTGACATAGCCTCAAAATGAGCAGTCAGCCCTTTCTCAGCAAGATATGCAGCTAAGCCCTCATAACCTTGTTTTGCAGCCAGATCAGCAGCAGTGTATCCACCAGGGACATCATGAGTAGGATCTGTCACCAAGCTTGGATTTGCTCCAGCAGACAAAAGAGCGGCAACCATTTTTTCCCTAGAAAAAGGATATTAAAACTTAAGATGACACCAGATGACTCGGAAAATCTAAAGAATAAGTTGATCCCAACAAACATGTGCCTGAGGTCACATAGTGTCTACTTCTATACTCACCTATGCGAAGAACCAGATGCCTTTAAAAACACATTGATAACTTAGTAGGTTTCCAAAACAAAGTTTGGCCCATCTTTTTCTACAAACTGCTAGTACTTTCTTATTAGTTATAATTTTGGTATCAATAATATATATATATATATATATATAATCCATCCCAGTTGCCAGAACCGATACAAGACATTGTTCTTTTCTCACTGTACTGTCTATGTTAGTCAATCAAAGAAAAAACATTAGGAATTTCAGAAGAAAGAGGATACCTCCCATAGTATGCAGCCCAGTGCAAAGCTGTCCAACCAGAAGAATCACGAAAATCCAAGGAGAATCCTGAATAAGAAAATAATCGAATGGCCCAAGTATAGCCCAAGAAAGAACACAGATGGATAGGTCCTTGTCCTAGATCATCGCAGTCAGTTGACTTCTGGCCTTCAATTACTTTTTCAACAAGCCACTCTTGCAATCTATTTCGCAATACTAGTTCAAGCAATCCCTCAATAGCCAGAACATAAGTGCCTTTAGAATCACTACCAAATTTCAACAGATCCATCCATTCCTTCTCTGCAGATACTGATAAGAGATTGGAAACTTTGCTGCCTTCTATAAGCAACTTGGGTGCCATCTTTTTCTTGTTTGTAGTGAACAACAAACGAGCTAGTCTCATTTGCATCTGAAGCTTTGACTTTTGGGGCTCATCATCAGCCAAGGTTTGACTTTCAGGCACCATACGATAGTCAAAACTCAAAACCTCACTGATTGGTGTTTTCCCATCCAAAGTCAAATAAAGATTGACTTGTCCAGGAACATGTGGTCTAACAATGAGACGGTAAACGCCAGTTTGAACAATGTTAGCAACAACACATTGGTCACCAATGACACAGAAGAGATTGGTCCCAGCCAGATGTTTGTAGTTCTCATGGAAATATCCAACCACAAGGACCTACAATTAAGTTTACATTAATACTTTGTTGTTTATTGGAATATAGATAAGAACTTATAAGCTCACACAGACATGCATATAAATTGTTCTATAATGCAGCTATTAAGTATTCAGTTATAAAAGAGACCTCCACATCCACCAAAACAGGAGGTACCTGATAGATAATTAAATAAGCAATGGTTTGAGTAGTTCTTAACAGATGAAGGTGAAGTAGAACATTTCCCAGGAGAATTGAACAGCTGAAGAGAAATTAAAACAAGAAACCATGGGAATTCAGTATAGGATGAGGGGAGGGGGGACCTTTGTGTCCTCTGTACAATAAGCCCATTCTGAGGATATCTCAGTGATGTGAAAGGGTCTTTCGTCGGTCACTTGTTCAGTGGGGAGTATGCCAGAGCTTGGATTATTCTCTAAACTAATATCATCATCCAAGTATTTCCACAACCCAAGACTGTTCTGCCTGGCAGGTACATCATTAGGCATGTTACCATACACTGGAGCTTTCATCAAAGAATTTGCATGTTGCTTTGATTGAGAATCCAGATCTGATGTTAAAAGAGATGGAGAATTGTTTGCTTGATGTTTCAGAGATCCAAAGTAACTCTCTGATGCTTGATTATGGCCAGGATTAGCATAAGCTTCTGAAACTACATTAGTTGTTGGAGAAAAGATAGCCTGCCAAAAAGAAGATGCTGGTTCATCATCATAGATACATTCAAGAAAACAAGCAATAGTACATCCACACCCATGCATAAATACACAAATCTTGAGTAGAGGCCGAGACCAAGAATGACCTTGCATGCCTACAGATGCAGCTGTTTTTGACTGAGGTACACATGGATCGAAGGTTAAGTAGAAACATCAATATGTAAGGGGTGCAATTCTCTCAGCTTCTTTGCAGCATATGATCAGATTGACAAAATAATCTCTTAAGCATAGACAGATATAATAACAACCCAATAGAATTAGTTTTGTACATAGAAGATATTGCAAACACTGATTATTACCAAAGAAAGTTGCAACCAAGGCAAGTGGTCCCTTAAAATTCCAGAGTATCCATCTTCTGGTACACTGCTTGGCACATCCATAGTGCATCCACAGGTGTAGTTTGTCACAACTTTTGCAGCAAAGTACATCTATGGATGTGCAAAGTTTCAGTTTTTTTTTTAAATTGCAGGTTTTTTTTTTTGGATGGGGGGGGTCACGATTCGACCAAGAAGGTAATTTCGACTGGATATTTTTCCCATTCTAAATTCAAATTTCAGATTTTACTAGATTTTCAGTAATTAATGTAAAGAGAGATAAATGCCGCTTTAACAAAAGAAGAAAAAGGAAACTAAATTGTGAAGCAAATTAACTGCCACAGCTGAAGTGAACTAAGAAATGCAAAGGAAGCTAAAAGGAGCAAAATTAAGGGATACAGTTATAGTCAATTTCACAGTGCAAAGAAAAAATAGTTTCATCTAAGATCCAAGATTTCGACCATATCTGTTACGATTTAAAATAGTTAACTGTAGCTCACTTAAAATACTACATAAGGAAAAATATAAAGAAGAAACAGAAATTAAGGACCACAGTTATACTACTTTTAGCAATGTAGAGAAGTGATAACTTTATGCAAGTTACATGCATGCACCATTGCAAGGCAAACTTAGCTCACATACATTGCCTGTGGCATTGGCATGCAAGATATTATTTCCAGAATCTCTCGTCCCATTATTAGTCTGCTGATTGGATGCCAAAGATCCACCTGTTTTATATAATAAGCAGGATTACAATCTGTACAACAGTAGACACCAAGAAAACTTGCAGCTATGTCAAAAGACCCACCACAAGAAGAAGCACCAACAGGAGTATCATTTTTCATTGATGACTCCAATAGATCTGCCCAAAATGATTCCAGGCTAGAACCATGATCGTCGGTTTCTGCAAACTCAACAAAAGAAGATACAGAAATATACTCTCAAAAGTAAAGTGATAGAAGTAAAATTCCGTATGGCGTTAAACAGTATGTTTTGAAAATTTTGGCATCTATCAGTAAGTAGTATAAACTAAACACTATAAAAACAGGTCTAGTTTTAAAAACTATATTTACATATTTCAAAATTTTCAGAAGATGTAGAAACTGGCATAGAAGTACACATATAATCAAATAAAAAATGTTTGGGATCTAAGCATGTCTTACCACTAGAAATCGCCCCACCACCATTTGAGTTGATATCAGCAGCAGCAGAAGATAGCTCAGTATGAGCAGAGGCTGAATCTGTTGAGGTCAAAGGAGAGCGTAATGAACCATATTGAACGGAGGCACTTCTGCAACTTCAGCTTCTGCATGTGGAGGTGGTAAGGCATTTTCCTATTTTCAGTATAAAAATATATTAGCATACTGAACAATAAAATATGTAACATTTTGTTCTAATACGCTTGCACAATAGAGGAAAAAATATATATATTTGTGAAACAAAGAGCCCTTAATTCATTTGAAGTTTATTGCTACTTGTATCTAGCTATAAGCGAAGGATATAGACAAGAGTCATTGCAATTCTCATGAACCTTTTACATGTTTGACTAGATAAGTGAAAATTTAATATCAAGTTCTTTGTCAAAGAGCTACTTTAATAAATCTTGAGGAAAATAGAATGCTCCATGGGGCCAGAGTCAGAAGCTAATATTTATTCATAAAAAGAAACTCTGGCATGATGAACTATTGAGTGTGGTCCTTGAATTTCAACAAAGTTATTAGTGAGTGAATGAATTCCTTAGTTTCTTTCAACCTTAACGGCATTTTGGATGAAGTAACCCTGCTTTTGCACAGGATGCACAAAAGTCTCAAAGCTCTAGTCATATCACATATAATTCTGTAGCTTAACCAAGTTCCTTTAATTGTTCTCTCTTTGGACCTTTTCAGGTATGAAGGCTACTTCATGCCCTCTTGGCAAGGGAAGCTGTGCAGACCCAGCCACTGAGACCTCAAAATCAGTTGCACATTCACATTCAACAATGTGTCATTTTTAATGAAATTCACATGTTTGAAGAGAAGCTCATAAATTCATAATACATCTCATGAGTATTACTAATGATATTTGGAGTGCAAAAAAACAACTTTCCTTGCCCAAGCAGAAGCAAAGTGAAAAAAATCTAAATATTTACTACAAAACAGAAAAAAGATGAGTAAAGAAAGACCGGACCTCAGATGTTTGACGATAATGCACAAGAACTATGCGCTCCAACTCTCTGAATAAGAAACAACCAAGAACAATATCAGCAATGAGAACCAGCATGGCATTTCTATCAAAGTCTGCATTTGAGCAAAAGACTAAGTCATAAATGTGGTGAAATATAAAGAAAATTATGCCATCGACCTCATATTCTGTAATCCTTCAACAGAACTTTCCTACAGATCTATTCCTATAAACTTAACATAATGTGATAACATCCATTCTTATGAACTAGCCAAGATTTCCACAAAATTTCACAGCGATATTACAAGACATTATACATCTAGCAGTACCAGCATTTATCTGAATAATCTACAGCTTTAAGATCTGGCAAGCCAAATTAAGAAACGCCGAGCCGTTTCCTTTTCTCCAGATTCATCATATTGGGTTTTTTCCTTAATATATACAAAATTTTAACACACCATTGCAGGTCCTTGTGGATGTAAGGATGTGCCAATTCACTTCTGCATGTGGGCAAGAAGCATGGAAGCACCAAACTGAAATATCAATTCTGTTGCACAAAGATATTTCATGATGCCACGAGACTGGCATCCTACCTCTTGTGAAAACTATTTTTGAGCTTAGAGAATAAGGGGGGAAAAGACCAAATATCTCAGCCACCACATTAAATAAAGTTTAGTGATCTAACATAATTTGCAGGCCAGGGTTGAAACCTTACTTGTCAAGCAGCCAGTAGCATCGGCGAAAGAAATTTGGATCATCCTCTCCTCGAGCATAATACACATGAACCTTTTCTTCATTACCAATCTACAAGATAAGACAAAGCACCAATAGTGGTGGATGTACTAGGATAATACAATGTAGCAACAGTTATTTGCACAAATTACCTTTAGTTTTTCATGGGCTTCTTGGACAGTCTTGCCATCTTTCTTTTTCTTCCAGTTATGGCCATCTTTACGGAAGTTCCGGACAACTTTACGATCATATAGAACAACAGTACCACCTAGTTTAAAAGAAAATTACAACTGAGGATGGATTGGGAATGCATATACCAATTTTCTCATGGAATTAGAAGATTAATACAAGACAAAATAAAAAATGCATTCTTTTTTTAAAAAAAAAGAACTTAAAGATGTAGACGTTCTCTGAAAGTAGTGCGATCAGATCTACACACTTGTATGAGTAACTTAGCACAGGAATAACAGTAGCAAAAAAGTTATACAAGTAGCACAAAAGGAAAATGATTCCCATGTGCAATAAGTGTTGTTATAGAAAATCATGTAAGATACAGTATATTAGAACGGTAAATGGTTTTAGTTACAAGTAGCTGCAGAACTCAGTGATTGGGTAAGAAACAAAAGACCAATGTGAATGTGAATAGGTAGAGGTGTTTTATACCCAATGGCATAGCCACAAAAAAAAACAGTAATTCATACCAAGCAAAATTAATTTTGGATTTACAACGAATACCATAAAAAACCGTGTTCATTTAACCTATGTTTCTGTAATCCTTCATGATCCCAAATATGGCATTTTGAAGAGTAGAAACTAAAGCACATGAAGACATGCACAAGAATCAAAAACACCATTTTAACTAGTACTGTGGGCATATATGTTATGCATATATGTTACAACCCTGCACATTGTATTATGAAGGGAGAAGATTATCAAACAGAAGAGAATGAAATGATTAGTCTTTACAACGCTGCTCCTGCGCGCAAACATTTCAGGAGAAAGTATGATCAAAGTTAGTCAAGTAGGTCTCCCTCGTACTCAGAAACTAAACGTGCATTCATTCATTCATCTCTTCTCTTATGGATACCAGCACTAGATCAATCATAGCATTCTAAACAATAAAGCAACTGGCCTTGAACTGAGGGATAATTACTACTATTCATTCTACATACAAATCAAATTGTTCAGACTCAGAAGCTCAAAGAACACAACCATCTTATACTCGGTATTTCAACACACAAGCTTCTGTTCTGTTTCCTTTTGTTCGCATATGTCATATATAAGTTACAAAAACTAAACAAACAGATGTGCAGGGTGCAGTAAAGTCAGGGGGTTTATGGCAAATGCGGAACACATACTAATGGGTTTGTCGATGGGTTGTGCATGGACCTTGAACCTTGCATGGTTCGCCAGCACCGCATAGATCTCATTCGGCCGGAACCAGCGTGTTCCCGCCTCCATCATCAGCTTATCAAAGTTCAAGTCTGTCCACCAATCGCCAATTGAATGAAACACAAACAAGCAATAACTCAGTGCAAGAAGCAGCACAAAACCTCATCATTTGGGCTTTGAACAGTACCAGATTAGAACGTCATGTCATTGAACACCGGAACAACAAGAGCAACAAAGACACCAAGTATAAAGTTTAAACTAATCACGAAGTGCTTAAACTGAGCATACCAAAATTCAGGGGAAAGGAACTAAAAAAAAATTAGGTGATGAGATGAAGTGAGCTAAGAAAACTGAGCAGCCAAACGCTCACAATGCAGTCGATCAGTTTCCAACAGAAGTACAGAAATACCACTATTATTCCAATCCAATCAAGCAACACGACTGCAGAAACAGCCCAAATAATCTCTAACAGCACACCCCATAGACTAATACAGCCGGAAATGGGGAAATACGCGTATGCAGCCGCGAAACTTCGAAGAACCCCGAAAACCCACGAGTGCTAGGCATCAGACGGCACCAGCCCCCAGACTCCAGAGCTCAATCGAACCACGTCAAAGAAGTGAAACAGGATCAAGGCGAGCGACAGAATCGCAGTACCAAAGGAGGAGAAGAGAAAAACGAAGGGGAAGGGGGGAACAGAAAACCCGCGCTCGAGCGGGGGCCTGGCGGGGCGACCTGCGCAGGTGAGGAAGCCGTGGATCTCGGAGGCGAGGAGCGGGTCCCGCCTGCCGGTGCCACCCGCCATGGTCGCGCTTCTGCTGCTTCTACACACTCTCTCTACCTGCGCGTTGTCTCTCGCTCTCACGGGGGAGAAGACGGCGAGGGGGGGAGGAAGGAGACTAGAAAATCGTGAGAAAAGTCATAAAGTGATGAGAGTTTTTCACACGGAAAAAAGGGGGCAGACGATAACCAAAAGAAAATATTATAAACAAATTTTGCTGTTCCTGTGGGACCCACAAATTTCACGAGGTCAGTGGGATCCACTTGCCAGAACGATCGATATTGGTAGTTGGATGCATGTTTGCCATCGAACTTTGGTAATAGTAGCATGATTAGCGCGTGCCAAACTGGCAGGTGCCGGTTGGCAAAAAAGATCACGGGCTCACTCTGCTGTGGCTTGGCAGGCTGAGCCCACTTGCCAGCTTCACAAATTTGTGCGCAGACCCATGATTTCCTTGCAACTTTTGCTCTCAAAGAATGTTATCCATTAACCTCCTGTTTATAATTTCTATCTATCCTATCTATTATATCCATAAAAAATTGCTAGGTATTTATCATCTACCCTCCGCAACATCTCTATCTCTATCTCTATCTCTATCTACAACTAAAATATTTATAACTATTCCACCCACAGGTACGACACCAAAACCGCTAAAACGTGGACATTGGTTTCCGACTTTCCCCTACGATCCCCTGCCGCTCGCCCTGCCATCACCGTAATCTCCGTCGGTCTGCCTTCCCCCTGCACTCCTCACGCGGTGGCTCAAATCGCACATGCTCAAATCACGCATGCGATCCGTGGACGGGGAGGGGAGAGAGGCAGCACCGTTAAGGCGTTCACCTCCATCCACGACAGCAGGAGCTCCTCATTGCGGCGGTAGCGCAGGAACGGGTGTAGGCCCACCGTACTGTAGCCACCGGCATCGATGTGGTTGAGCGGGAAGGAGGACGGCGCCGCATCCACGTCCTCCTCGTCGCGCGAGCCCCATCCACGTCCTCCCGCCAGCAGTAAGGAGGATGGCGCCGCCCGGATCTGCCGGAACCCGGAAGTGACCGACGCAGCCCGGTTCTTCCCTCTCCCCGTTGCTTCCCCTCCCGGTGGCACTGGATCTCGCTGCGATGGGCGCCATCCTCCGTCATCGCGCTCGGCGGCGACAACAATGACATCTCTCTCGTCAGAGAGTCGAGAAAGAGCCCGACGCCGCATCTCTGCTCGCGATGAGGAAAATGTTCTCATCGTAGATGATGATGACGGTGCCTCCACTGACCACTGTCCGGCCCCGATGCACCTCCTCTGCGCTCCAGCGATCTCGATCTATCTCGATACCTCGACTGGCAAGGTCAGCACCTCGTGATTCCTGATTTCTCTTCCATGATGTCATCCCTGATCCCCTTCACAGAGAGATGGAATACCGAAGGATGCCAGGGCAGGGATGTCCGATCTGGTGTGTGTGTGTGTTTCGCCCTTGCCACTTTTGCTTGCTCACCTGCTTGTCATGTTCTATCGCGAAGGGTATCAGGGATTCAGGGCTTGTGAACTTTATACTCATATTGTATTTGTGAAGTATGGCATAAAGGTTGACAGGGATGATGCCCACCATGTATTCACTGAAATGCCCTCAAGGTAATATATGGTACAAGTTTTAATTTCTCGTTGATTTTGTTTTGTAAATTTGGTATGAATTTCACTGTTTCTTTTTCATTTTGGCCCAAATTAGAGTGGCAACTTTGAAAATGCTCTAAACATTTTTTCATGAGTAATTAATCTTGTACTATTGTCATTTAATTAAAAATGCAGTTCTGTTGTTTACAGAGCTCTGCCGGATAAGCTTTGTTCTACTGTCCTTGATGAACATCCATGCTACAGCACTCCTGCACGAGTGTTTTAATAAATCCATGCGATTTCAACTAATGCATGGTGCGGACAGGATAAGTGATTTTTTTAAAAAATCTTGTTTCTTGAATAATGGAAGATTTTGTAGCTGTTATCTTTAACCCTTGAATTAATCTAAATATATTCTTACATTATAACTTACAAGTTCAATATACTGCTCAAGCTGTAGTTTTAAAAAGAAAATCATTCGCTAATTGGGATCTACAGTTATTATGTAGGGTCCTAATCAGTAGTGCTCTTTTCTTTGTTGCGTTGCGTGCTTAAACGGTCTTTATCTGTTTCCTCGTGCTGATAGAGCTCTAGGCAGATAGCTGCGCTTATTGGATGTCAGGCTTACTAAAATTGAGGCTCATGTATTTGGTTGGAAGTAAGAGAGCCGCAAGTCCCAGTCAACTCTGGCTAACCAATCATGGTCTCCAGATGGCTGGTACATGTCGTCTGGTTCAACAGATCCAGTGATCCACGTAACACTGCAGGTTTGTTTCCTGATCCATGAAACATTGTCATGTCTCATATAGTATGCTTATCAAAATATAATAAATGAAAAGCGATTAAAAAATAGATCTGAATTGCTATGCCTTGCAGCAGAACAAAGCCGCCTTCATTCCTAGCATTAGTGCAAAAGTGCAGCAAATTCCATTATGCCACACAGCTTGTTCTATTCTCATTCTTTGTTTAGATTTGGTCCAACATGTTGAAACATTTCAAAGTGAAAAGTGACAACATGATAGAATTAATAGTTGGATTGCTGGGGACTACATCCTCCTTCCACTCTAGGACTTACAAGAACCATGAATCTAATGCATTTATAAACTGTTCAATGGACTCTATAACATAATGAATAAAAACAAGCTTATATTAGTGAGCTCAGGAATAGGACAAATACCTGATAGTTGCATCTAACAAACAACCACATAATTGTTTCTTTACAGATGAAATTTACATTTTTTTTTACTGCAGATTGATCACTTTGTCAAGAACATCTTCTCTTAGTGGTGATCAGACGAACCACATCCACTACTTTTGCTTCGGTTATCAAGGCTCTGTTTCAGGTATATATTTCATAGCTCATCTCATATCTGAATCTCAAAGGATATGCTGTTTTTTCATTGGTGAAACATTGTCTTTTCAATCCAAAACTTCTTTGAACCTATATAAGCATTCAGTGGACCATGATTAAGTAGTGGCTGGTTTATTAATTGCTTTGCTTCATGAGCAATTTAGATGTTTGAGAGTGCAGATGGTACTTGTTCTCAAGCAAAGCTGAAAACAGATGCTACTCCTATCCCTATTTTTTTTATAGTACAATTGAAAATATATGCTACCGCTACACTTTCTTTGGTCCCTAGCCAATATAGTTTTGAGTTACTAGGGGCAGAGCAATATGTTACCATGTGACTTTGTGCCGTGAGAGTTAGTTGCTTTGTTTTCTTAATCTGGATAAGGTCTCTCACAAAAATAATGCTTAGGAGTCTAATATTGACACCCTGCACGGAGGTGGTGGCGCCGCCGTGGCGCCATCGAGCAGCACCGCGATGGTGCCCTTTGCGCCTCGCGCGGAGCATCAGAGGCGCCAGCGAGCCCACGGCTCAGCCGTGCTTCCCGTGACCATTAAAACAAGGGGAAAGGGAAAGGGAAAGGGAAGGGGAGGGAAGGGGAAGAAGAAAGCGATAAAGGATATATTCACAAAGAATATCATATATAAAGATGTTCTAACTCTATAAAATAGGTAATGCATCACACGTTGATACATATTTTTTTCAGGATATCAAATGGTACTTTAACTTTAAAAATTAACAAACAACTTATATGTATGATACTTCTAACTACAACTTCAGCCATATTTTGGACTAGAAAATCTTCTGGATCATCATTGATTGGTGACCAACTGCAGCTTGGTATTCGTGCAAAGCACGTTCTCTTAGTAGAACTATTGAGAGATTAGATTCTTAATTGTAGAATAGATTCTAAAACATGTACTGTGAAACAGAAACTTGTTATGGTTATCTTTCCGTAGCACTTGATTCCTAAAGAAGTGCAAACTTATCTTTCGCATATCGTAGGCATGGAGTGATGCGACAATTGAAGTTGATGTTTTAGTTTGGCATTCAAATTTAGAGTTATATTTTAACTATCTATCTTTCGTGAAGACTTATGTAATATTGATTGGAACATTATGATTGCGGTATCTATTTTAGATAACAGTATAACACACGTTCATACATATATTATCGTGGTATTATGTGTTTCCGTTGCAACGCACGGGCATTTACCTATTAAAACCAAAATTTGATAACAAATATGATAAAAAATACAAATTCGGTTGAAATGGAGCGCTATAGATGAACAAGAACCCTTAGAAAAAGTCAAGTGGGTCACTATGGACCTGCTTGGTTGACTACCAAATTTTGTCATGCCAAAGATTTGACAAGAAAATTTTGTGAAACCTTGAGCAAAAATATTTGCCATAGATTTGCATATCAATTATGAGATATTGGAGAATTTTGATACCAAACAAAATGGCTGCCAAAATCTTGGCTTACCTAAGTTTTGGTGACTAAATTTTAGCTATGAACCAATAAGCCTCTATTTACCTAATGCATTTGTGGCGAGATATATATGTTTTTAAATAGGGGTTATTTAGATTTTTTTCACTAAGGCATGTATATCATTTTGTCATTTGTCAACGTTTGGCTCTGCACTTCAATGAGGGACTCCAACAAAAGAAAATAAGAACTTCTGAACTTAGTGGCGAACAGGTAATAAAGTTTACCATTTTGAACATGGCAATTATATTTTTTAGGTTGTTCATGGTAATTATTGTGTCCAGAAAGAAATAGCCTAATAATTGTTTAGACTAATTGATTGAATAGACAGATTGATCTAGCCACGTAGGCAAAAAGGTGTAATGGAGCTCAACTGTTTGAACATGACAACTATTGAATAAAAGAATTGTATGTCATAATCCATCTGTTTCGAATTGTATTGTACTGCTTTTCTAGATACACTAACCTTTTCTATATATTGTATATCTAGTTGGTACTAAAAGTTACGTACCTAGCAAAGTCAGAATGACTTACATTTAGGAACGAAGATAAACTTAATTGTTTAGACGTGCATATTATTCGCTG